ACCATCTCTTCCCCCAAACGCTATGATTGAGTCAGATTTCTTTAGCTTTTACATAGTTGGGACCATGTAGGGGATGCTTAATATTAGGGGAATTGGATTAAGTGTAAACAAACAACAAATCATACAGCAAGAAACAACAATGAGATCCAATGAAAGTCAAAAAATAATTAATAAAAAAAAAAAACGCACATTCCCCCCATTCATACACCCACAGAAACCATGGTGGTGGATGTAGGGGATGAAATCGCATATTGGAAACTATCTATATAGGGGGTATTTGAAATTAAGGTGATGGAATATCAAAACATACAACAATAAGAAAATAACAGCATATAAATCATATAACAATGTTGAACCCAATCAAAGCGATCATAACCCATACATGACCCAAAATAACCCGTAATAACCCATGAATCATATAACAGAAACTTCAACGACCTGTTTACGTCGCTCCACAAACAGGTCCTCCAGCTGTTTCTGAAGCTCCCCTGTGGCGTCACTCGAGCCTGGTGAATGGTGGATGCAGGATCCGAGCGAAGCCATGAGGAGTTCATACCATGGTTGATGGGTTAATAATGGGTTAACATATATATGGGGGTGTACTAAATTGGGGGTACCCCAATAGCTGGATAGTTCATTTCATGGAAAATCCATCTATACATGGATGATTTGGGGGTACCGCTATTTCAGGAAACCTCCATATGTAAATTAATCTGTTGGGAGGTTTATTTGTTGGGACTTATACTAAGCTTAGCTTGTGATATCGGGGATTCAATGATGACTGATGGCTGATGGCTGTCTAGGTTGCCTTCAATGGCAGATCTTGGGGATGTACTGTCCAATCCGGTGGTTGCAACCAATCCAGCAAGGAGGGGCCTCAAACAATAGGTAAGTTGGGAAACATAGCTGGGCTACTGTTTAACAGGCGAACGGTTGGCTTTATGGTGGATACATCTAGCGTTCCATTGTAGAATTTTATAAACCAACAAAGGCAACTGGGGGTCCTCCTTGTAGGATGTTCCCATTTGATGGATTGTTACTCCTCATTATTTGTGAATCAAACCTTTAGACTTTAGAGTATCTTGAACGGTTTGGTCTTTAAAGTTTAAGGGAACAAAACAAATCCATCGATCCATGCATTGGTCCATCATCGGTCCATCGTGAATTTCTGCATGAACATCGTTGAAAATCCCACTGGTTTCATAAAAGAGCCTTGGCCTACTCCTACTCCCAAACAGGGTTACTCCTGAAAATGGTTATTCTTTGCCAAAAAAACTCAAAGAGTCAAAAAACACTAAACAAACCCAATCAAAAAATATAAAGAAAACCAATCCAAAATTAACAACAAAACAAATTTAAAAAAATATGACTATATTAAAAAATCAAAAACGAAAATGACACAAAATACATAAAACAAACAACGAATAGTAATGAAATATACAATATACAGCAATTGTATGGAATTATCATGATTTCTATGGAATGTTCCAACAGTGTCCCTGTGAGGAGCATCCTTAGAAATAGGATGTTTGTAGAATCAAACCAGGTAAACCAACGTCCGCATCCGCTGTGACCAGCGCGGCTCCCCTATAGCCTTTCTCCAGAGACTCGGCGAGAGCATCGAGCCAACTGCAAGGCTCCTCGGCTGAACATATTCATCACCAGGTCACCCGGCCCTAGCATCGGCTGTAACTGTTCTGCAAGATTTTTAAAAATGTTCTGCAAGGTGATAGCCCCAGTTATGCTTGCCGCTTTGTAATCATTGTAATCCCCACTAGGTCGGTATAACCCCCTCATGAAGCCTAGTGAAATTGGAGTGATAAACCAACTTCGCTAATCATGAGGCACCACCCTGTTGAGCTCCTGCAGGCTTCCTCCAGGCGCCAAGCCTTGCAAAGTGATCACCTGTGTGGATCAGCGCTTGCCATTTGGAAACCAAGAATCTAGGATTGAGCCAGTACAAATTTGGTGGAATACCATTCTATGGGATACTTCATGGGCATATTCCTCAAATAATAACCACCAAAATGATGCTTTGGTGTGTTTGTAAACATTTACACTTTAAGGAAATTAATGATAAACCATGCCAAACTTTGAGGTGCCCTATTGTCAGAAAGACTCACATGGGTTTGTCTTGCCCAATTTTCAGGCACAATCATATTCTACATTCCCTATCAAGTTTAATCCCTAATTATCAAGTTGCTGGTTTCAACATGAGCAAAAATCGATTGGGCATATGTGTTTCCTGTGTGTGTTGTTTGGGTTTTTCTATATATATATATATTTTTTTTTCCTGCTGCAAGTATTGCCCGTACAATCTCTCTCTCTCTCTCTGCAGCGCTATCTCCGAGGAGTGGGGGTAAAGCATCTATCGACTGTAAAATTTTTCTAGTGGCTCAAATGTGCAGTATGTAATTAAACCATCTGTCTGAGTGTTGAGTAGATTGTGGAACATCCTATTAATCTATAGAATGATTTTCCGAATTGGAAAGTGGAGTTGAAGGAGCATGTTCCATTTCCAAGTCACCCAAAAGGCAATTGTATATGCTCTTCACCAACAAGGGCCCCCAAAACCATTCATCGGAGGCCAAATTCTGCTTTGAATTGCTGAATCGTTGATTTTTCATCATCCAGGCCTGGTGGGTCTCTATGAATGTTCTCAGTTCACCCACCCAAAACTCAATAAATGTGTCAACCCCCAAAGTGAGGGCCGCCTCGGGCCCACCAACCCCCCGAGATCCCCTGAGGTTCCCAAAAAACGACCTCGAAAAAGGTAGCCCCTAGGGACCACATGTCCGACGCCATGTAGCATCTTTTCCACTTGGACACCTCCGAGGAAGCGTTCAAAGTGAGCGGCTGCAAGCCAGCGAAACTTGTTATAGATAGGTAGATGTGCATAATAAATATATAATAAACATGTATATACATGCACATCTATATAGGTATATATATATACATTTGTTTTTTTTAATAGATCACTCTCAGGCTGTCCCCTTCAAGTATGCATGTACATATATATATATATATGTATGTATATATATTTATACACCTGTATATTAGAGCCTCAAACCACTAACAGTGATCCCCAGAACTATCATCTCTTTATATAGGGGGTTCCTATCAACCATCATTCCTCATTCTTAGCGGGTGAAAGGCTATGCCTACTATGTGCATCTCTCTCTATATAAATGAATATATATATATATATATCCATCTATCTCCCTGTCGCATGTCTACAATTGTGGGACCTATGGGTGGTATTAATGGATATTCGCCATGGCCCATTGAGCTGAGCTTAGCCTCAGGGGCGCTGTAGAGAGGCGTGGTCACTGGCGCCTGAACGTAGGCCTCCTCAAGGACGCTGTTGGGGCAGCTTGAGCACGGTTGGATTTGATAAATGGTATTAACCAAAGTTATAAATGGGATGTATAACTGTATAAAACTAAACATTTTACACAATTTGTATATATATATATATCAACTAAGATAATTATTAATAATTATTGATAATTAATGTATAAATGGGATTGATATAATGGGAAATTACGTGGGGTTTAAAGGTGATTTCCAAGTGGGAGATTGGATTTGCAACCAAACAATGTGATTTAATTTAACATAAATTAACGGAAGTTTACCCCGTAGTGATATAATCCCATCCACTATATTCCACCAGGGTGTCGTTTTGGAATGTTTTGGAAGTTAATTTAGATATGTCAATTATTGTCCAACCACTGGTCCCCATCCAGGTAGGGATGGAGTTATTGAAACCACATCCATTTGGTGACGCCGATGATCCGACTCGGTCAAATCTCCACTTTCTGGCTGCTTGCCCGCGCGTCCGGTCGGTGAAATCCCCAATCGGTTGGCTAGGAAAACTCCCATCAATAGATTTGTGTGGGGGAACGGTAGCAGGAAACATCTTCTTTGCCGGCAACTATAGGGGATCCCTGCAAAATAGCAGTCCTGGTCACCCTTGCCGGGCAATCGCATGGCACTACCCAGATCGCAAATCCTCAGCGATCTAAGCGTTGTTGAAAACTCTGACCCGCCATCGCGAATGTCAACCCTAATCAACCTCCAATTTGGGGATGGGTCAAAACCTATGGTCCCATTCATTTGGGGGAATGGATATCCATGATTTATTACCTACTATTTTGATTACCACTAGGCCAGCAGGGTTTTGGTCCAGAGCCATTCCTTAATATTGTGGGGTACCACGTGTAATTCCAAGAATCACTACTTTTTGGACCTCTTCTGTTTGTAAGCTGGGGTTTGGTTAATCCTGGGTTGACACAAATTCTGTCGCAAGATCTGATGCAGCCATGGGCGTTTGGACACCGGCCCCAACGAGGGCGCGGTGAAATCATCATGATTGTCATTACCCCAACACCACATAATCACAGTTAAATGCGGATGCCATAAATCACCATAAGCATCACATGTCACAACATATCATCCTAAACAAGGGTGGGTAAATGTCCCAAATTTTCACATCATCCAGCTATACATCGGTTTTGGTGATGTTCAACCCCTGCGAACATAAACCCTGGCCCAGGTACTGCAGACTGAGACCCCCGTGACCTAACATCAAGTTGTCCTCGGCCGTTGGACATGAACTGATGGATGGCACCGAGGCTGGCGCCCCTGATACCCGCAAGATTCATGAGATGGCGCGCGCGCGAAAGCTCAATGAGGAGGTGAAGAGTCGGAATCGCACATGAAGAAAAAAGGCGTCTACGCTCATGTGCTTGTTAGACTCGGCTTGGAGGTTGTGTTGCAGTATTTGATGCTTGTGAACAGTGAACAGGGATGAACATTGCGCATTTCTGACATTGAGTGGTTGTATATATGAGGCTATATATGCAGCGTCATGGTAAAACCGTGATCTCCGAAAACGTCGTAGTTCTTGCTGGACTGATGACTCCTTGGGTAACTAGAACTAAACCCAATAGTTTCTACATATAAGCCATCCCTAAAGCATAAGCTAGTCTGATGTTTCACTATCTATTCAAACCAATCTTCTCCGCTATTTCCAAGTGCATCCCAGTTTCAGGTTTGATATCTCTGTGCAGGACGCCGTGGTAGTGCAAAAAACTGAGGCCATGGAGGCTTTGCACATACCACGCACCCAAGTGTTGTCCACCTGGGCGCTGATTTGTGGATCCCGGCGCGCCGAGATCAAGGGACTACGGTAGGGGGATGGGATGATTCGGCAGCATTTCCAAGGTAAATCTGACTTTAGATTTTAGATTATCTAGATTGGATGATTGAATGATGAAGAATCAGCAAAACAAACATCAGTTGCTAAGATAAGTTAAGGTGGTTGAATAGGCAGCTCTGATCATAGATTTGGAATGACATCATTATGACACCTTAGCTTGTTGCATTGGGATGTTCCGTTTCAAGAGCATGAATGACTTTTGGGTGGATTACTCCAGAATGAATCCACCACGGTTTAAGTCCGCGGTTGACTACATAGGCCAAGGTCTTGCGCAATCCAAAAATATGCACAAGGCTTCAGAACAAAAGTGATGTCAATGGATTGGTTGAAGAGAACATCTAAAGTATCCTTCGGAAACCATGGTTTCCACCGTCAATTGTAGTTCTTTCCTGGATTTTTTCCTTTAAAACAATCCAGTACCATGACGAACATCTGAAGATCTCATTGAATTAATCACCCGGAAATTTCACGCAAAAACCTGCGTGAAACAAGTAGAACCCGTAGGCTGGATGTTCCAAATTTATGTTAGTTTACTGCAGGGTATAAAAATGTTTTGTGGAACAAACTGTCACAATCGTGCCATGGCCCCAACTGGACCGCTTCCTGACAGGTGCCAAGACCTACAATAATGGCAAATTGTGTTAGAAACTCGTGCGGTATAGTGACAAGGTTTCACTCCATAACAACTTGGTGATTTGGTGTTGTAGCCTTGAACATGTACAGTACATGTACATGAATGACTGCCCAAACAGGGCAAGTATCCATCAATGTTGGCATTTCATACCCAATTGTCTGGCACCTGTTGTCACCCAACCTGCTCTACAGAATTTCATATGGAAACGGATGGAAATGGATTTATACAATACACCCAAAATATATGTTTAACACTCTCCAAACACGAGGAACAAGAGGTGTTTCATTGGTATCCAATTTCATGGACCCCATGTCAGCCATACCACTATGGGATTGCTTCAAAAACATGCCACACCAGCAACAATGATGTTTTATCATCATTAAATACATATATATATATAAATATGATATGCATACAAGTTCCTACCAACTATATAATCTCGACAGAAACTGGCCATGTGAGGGCATCCCCAACTTTAAGACACACGCATATCGTGTTTTGGGATACATATTACTATTCGTTTAAAATATGTTTTAGCTGGCTGAATACCCCCCACGTTTTGTTGGTTAATTCCACCATGAATATCCATCAATTAAATATCCAATCGGCGATTTACATAGGTATATATTCTCAACTTATCCCCATGATTATCTCATTATCACCGGCTAAACCCCATTCACATCTTGTTCAACCACATATTTGTTGGTTAAGTCCCTAATAAGGTTCGATTAATCATCTTTGTTCGTTCAATCCCCATGAATATTCCATTTTTCCCCCCATTCTTGTTGGGGTTTAGGTCCATTTTTTCTGAGTGAAATCGGCCATTCAAAAGCCCTCTGGTTACGTGACCCTTGCAGCAAGACACGTACGTTGGTGCTCAAAGAAGAGTTGCTCCGAGAACACGTAGGGCCTGGAGCTCCGCATCGGAAAGTGCCGAATCATTGGAGATGGGAGAAGTGTCTAGGTCATGTAATTTAATACACATAAATATTGAAAAAGAAAAAAGTATGTGTGATTATGTGTATATATATAAAATATGTATATATATATATATGTTATCTTTTGCATATATATGTATATATAAAAAAGGTCTCTAATATTCGAAAATACATGGGCGGTTTCTTCTGTCTGTAACCGGTCATCCCCAAGAAATCTTCGCGTCGCCATGGGGCCGTCTGTGGCGTCGCTCAGCGTTGCGTGTAGGGCTTGGCTGATCCGACTCTTCAAGGATCCACCCTCCGAGAAAGGCATCACCTCAGTGCTTGGAGGATTGGGATCCAAGGGCTTATTTAAAAGCACAAACGGAGACCGGGTCTGTGTTTCTGTGAAATTCAAGAATCAAATTTATAGATAACGAAATTAGGATATGTAAGGATATGTATTGCAGTCTCGGACTGGGCGACGATAATGTTTTCAGCTGAAGCATGATGAAGCATTCACATAACAATAACTAATCTTGGATGCCAAATAGCCTGCAACAAAAACATCCGGATGCATTGTTGATAGCTGGTCTGTATGCCTTCTGGTAATTTAATACATAGCTATGGGAAAATGGCCCATTGATAGATGTTTTACCATGATGTGCCTATAAAAAAACGGTGATGTTCCATATTTATGGCCAAAAAATGCCAAAAAACCACCGCCAACCCACCTCACAATCACCTTGACCACAACTGGTCTGCCCAGGGCCCAGTGACAATGTAGTGCAATCTTTGTTGCCTTGGTCGCGAGCGGAACATCTGCTATAAACAACTCCCAGTTGGGGACGGTTGATAGCACCAACAGAAGTCTGACTTGGTTTATGAAATTGGGTTTACCACATTATCCCAAAATTGTTGAAAGATGTTGAACGTGAACACAACCACCAAACATGGCTGGCAACACTCACTCAAACAGCCGCAGGGCGAACATGTTGCTCCCGTCAAGGAGATTGGATCTGGGTAACGCTGGGAGACCTATATAGGAGAACATTATAGTTGCTTGTTCTGGTTTCTCCAAGTGCAAACAACTCATGTTTGGGTTGATCTGACAATGGGATTCAAATTTATCATCATGGTCATGGCTATATCAGGGGCCTTCCAAGCCCCATTTACAAACGTACCGAACGTTTGGAGGATTGATGTCCAAGGTGCGGGTTTTCCCATGCACATTCAAGAGATATGATTGTGGGCCAGTTGAACTTTTCCATCAGCGAGACCTAGTGCGCAAGTCTGCTGGATGGAGATCGGGATTGCTAAATTCATACAGTTGAGATATGTTGGAAGCGGACACACATCCAATTTAAACAGCTATTCATTAGTCTATGTTCGCTAGGGCCAGGGGAACAGGGTTTTTATCCATAGCCAAACCAAGACTCACAGAAGCACCTCAGAATTTGGCTCATGAAACAAATCAACTTGGGTAGTCTTGGGTGCTCTGGAGGGCCCCGAGAATTTGACCAACGCTCAACTGCGTGACATAAGACCATGCCTAACTTTGAAACAAACTAGGAGAAAAGTCAAATTCCAGTATCCCTGGTAACCTGCACAAGACATTTTGAGCAAAAATACCCAGATTCTTCACAGAACTGTTACCTAGATTTCCTAGAGACCAGTCCCTGAACATCTCAAAGGCATCTTGGGCACCCCAATCTGCAGGGTCACAAGAGAAACAACTCAAACAAATGCATTCGTTCTGGATACGTTGGACAAGATTGGATACAATGTCAACCCTGGATTGTTTAATTGGAGGGGTACCATTGAAGTATTAGATTATCACTATTTGGGGAGTACCCCCTAATTAATAAACCATGGTTTATTCATCCGGGGCTGACAGTATGTATCGACTTCTCCTGCCATGGGCGCACCTCCTGCAAGAGACTCTGGCGTTCCTTTTCCCGAAGTAGTCGCGTTGGGACTTCCTACAACATCGGCGCTGATCCCGGTCCGATTCTGTGTGTGGTTGATTGGGCGCTGCAAATTTAACGACACATACACATGGAAACAATATGCAAGTCAAGAACCATTAATGGATCACTTGAAATTTGAAATAAACTTCAAGTTGGGCCTGACCCACTTTTGGGATAGATATATATATATAATAATAACAATAATAAATCACAATATTACTATTTAGATTCAGCTACGAGGAAGTCGCAATCGCTCAAAGATGGCCGACAGCCGAGGGTGCTGTGAGAGTTTGCAGGAGAATACTGGGATCAATGCTCAACTTAGCTAGATGATTTCGACTAATTATATATGTATAGAAAATGCAACAGCAGAACACCCAGAGAGCAAAATATGTTTCGCATCAGTCTTCCAAGCGAATGAACGGAGACAAGACAGCGAGGGCCACCCCAAGGCAGAAATAATCAAGGGAGACAAGACTGGGAGACAAGACTGGGAGACAAGACTGGGAGACAAGGCGGTAACAAATTTGAAAGAATACAGTTGTTGAACATCAGGATCTCATTCATTGAGAAGTAAGAATCTCTATAGCTGACGCTATCTGGGGAACAATTGAAGTGGGTGTGCTAAACAATATTGGAAGGCGCTGGTCGCTGTGTCAAAGGGAGCACAGAAATGCCCGCATGTATATATATATATATATACATATGTGTATATATAGTAAAGGAATCAAGAATCATATTTATCAGTAGCATCACATGTATACACATTGCAACTGAGAATTTCTGTCTTTTAGAGGGAACTGATCTACAAATGGATCTCACGTTTTGCAATCCGATGACCTTGGTAGTTTTCCACCCCGTGTGTCCAATACGATCCCATACTAAAGTAGGCTTTTAAAAGAACTAATCACAGATTGTGATGTTGGTTTTAACACACTAAACCAAAATTCATCCTAAAATTGAGCTTCGTTTGTGGTGTTGGTTTTTTATCACATTAATCCATCGACCCAACATCTTCACATCAAGCAACATAGATTTTACAAATAATGTGTGCACATGTTGAAAGAACATATATTACATATAAATCACCAAAAAAGGGAAAGTAGCATCCCACCTCAATATTGATAAGCTATTTGTCTATCTTTTTGGTGGAATATATAGTATATAGAATAATATAATATAACAAAGCAAAATGTGATATAATATAATTAGAAAAATAACAAAATATCACAACATAAACAATAATATAATATAGGTTCAAAACTATGATATAATAAAAACATCATATAGAATAATTAGTAAATATAATAATATATAATAAAGGGGTACAGTTTTTTTTGTTTTTTTCAGTCTGGGGCACTTGTCCTTGCTAAGCAACAACCTCTCTCTCTCTCTCTCCATCGCCATCTCCAAGAGTCTAGCCAAAGGCTAAAAGCAACAACCTGTACTTTGCTGATTTTTGGAGCTAAAATTTGCCAGTTGCACTGTTCATCGTTTTTTCTATGGTGTTCATTGATTTACCCAAAGTTGTCATCGATTTTTCCATAGTTTTCAATGAGTTTGCCATGGGTTCAAAGGATTTTTCCATGGTTTCAATCGATTTTTCCATGCATAACATGCACCTGGTGAACATGTAGAATATAGGTTGAAGCAAAACCGTGTTGGGTCTAAATAGTGGCATTGGATGCTATCATAGTGGTGGTTGGTTTAGGGTTTATTTAGGGTTGGTTTAGGGTCATTTAGGATTGGTTTAGGGTTGGTTTAGGGTTTATTTAGGGTTGGTTTAGGGTTTATTTAAAGTTGGTTTAGGATGTATTTAGGGTTGTTTAGTTTAGGGTTGGTTTAGGGTTTATTTAGGGCTGGTTATGTCGGGTTGGCTTAGGGTTATTTAGTTTAGGGTTGGTTCAAGGTTTATTTAAGGTTTATTTAGGGTTGGTTTAGGGTTTATTTAGAGTTATTCAGTGCTATTTAGGGTTATTTAGGGTTGGTTTAGGGTCTATTTAAAGTCTGTTGAGGGTTGGATTAAGGTACATGCAGGGATACAAGGTGTGTATAAAAAGGTAGACAGATAAGATAAGATAAGATAAGATTACATAAGATAACATAATACGATTAGATAGATTATATAGATTGATTAGATTGATTATATAGATTAGATAGATTAGGTTAGATTAGATTAGATTAGAATAGATTAGATAGATAGATAGATAGGATTTGATTTGATTAGATTAGATTAGATTAGATTGGATTAGATTAGATTACATTAGATTAGATTGGATTAGATTAGATTATATTAGATTGGATTAGATTAGATTAGATAGATAGGTAGATAGATAGGTAGATAGCTAGATAGATTAGATTAGATAGATTAGACAGTTTGGATAGATTAGACAGATTAGATACATAGGTAGAAAGATAGGCAAATAGGTAGATAGATAGATTAGATTAGATTAGATTGGATTAGATTAGATTGGATTAGATAGATTAGATAGATTAGATTGATTAGATTGATTAGATTGATTAGATAGATTAGATAGACAGTTGAGATGAATTAGATAAATGAGATAGATAGATAGGATTTGATTAGATTAGATTAGATTAGGTTAGATTAGATTGGGTTAGATTAGATAGATGGATAGATAGGTATAGGTAAAGCCACAAAAGCCACACACCCACAAAAGCCACAAAGCCAGGCTGGAAAACAAAAAAAATAACACCCCACAATAAAATAACATATATTATAAAATAATGTGTCATAATGTAATATAATATAATGTAATATAGGAAATAATATAATATAATATGCCATAATAACAAATATATAATATAATATAATATAATGTAATGTAATATAACTTAACACAATATAAAAGATATAATATAGTATAATGATTTATAATGCAATTTACAAAACATATAGTATTTCATAAGACATACGATAATATGTCATAATGGAATATAATGCACATCCACAGCACACAGCCTTCATCGCAAAGATATGGCCGTCACGTAGGCGTTTCACCCGGTGCACGATGCCGGAGGATCCCCGGCCCAAAGTCTCACAGACCAGAAACTCCTGGCAATTTATTCATCGGAACATTGGGGATTTCGCCCAAATTGGAATTTCACCAGCAAAATATGTCTGTATATATGGTATATTTCACCAGCATAATATACCAAAATAAATTGGAATGGTGATTTAAGTAGCAAAAATGGATGGTGATTTCAGTAGCAAGAATAGAAAATTTCACCAGCCAAAACGGTGATTTCCATGGGATTTGTAGCTGACGCCTTCAGTGATGATCACCTTTAGGTTGTTGGATCCTATTGATGGGGGGATGACCATCCCTATGCGAAAACAAGCCTCTGGTGAACATGGCTGGCAACAGAAAATCAGAACAAAATTACAGTAATTAACATGGAAAACATGTGTATATATATATATGTGTGTGTGTATGTAAATATGGTATAATTACTCACATTATATTATAAAACTAAAATTGCGTGATTCTTGAACGATATCGAAAGGATCCAAAAGGGCTAGAGTTTAAAGTTTAAACAAAGCCAACTTGCTGCGTACATGAAGAAACATCCCAATCTACAATCTGCCCTGCTCATTGTTGGGACGCTCATTGTTGGGTGGACGACCTGAAAGCCATATGCAAAGGAAACAGGATGAACCAAACCTCAGTTGATTGTGGACTACTGCCAGCATTTCATTATATTCCATTTTAATCTATCCTCCGACCCCAGATTCATAAACCCTGGTTGATTAATCAGGCATCCGGTTGCAATCAAAAACAGCCAGGTGGTTCGAAGTGAGTACGGCAATAGTAAACCACCCCCCAATTTTGCCAGAAATGGGTGGTGTAAAGCATCAAAATATGGCTATCTTTTCTAAGATAGATGTGGAAAATCCATAGTTTTTGGACAATGATCTGCTGTATTGTGCTTTCATGGTGGGTGTTCCACATTTATGTTAATTCCAGAAAGGTATCAAACAAGTATCAAACTGTTATCAAAAAGGCCATGCCTTCCCTGCAATCCATGCGAATCCCCAATGATCCGTATCGCTCCTCCGCCCATCTGCGTTGCAGGGCAGCTTCCACCGTGCGACGCATGTCTTCCAGAGACAGCGGATGCAACAAATATTCCCGAATACCTGGCTCAAATGGATTAGTTTGAAGGGAACATTGGCAGGAAAACATTAACCAATGTGTTCTTATTCCGAACGATCAGGGTTTCCTAATCGTTCTTGTAACCAATGTGTTCTTATTCCGAACTATCAGGGTTTCCCAATCGTTCTTGTAACCAATGTGTTCTTATTCCGACCTATCAGGGTTTCCTAATCGTTCTTGCCCATGGTTAGTTGATGGAGTTCATGGATCTTAGCACTCCCAGGCCAGTACCCGTACCCTCTGGTAATCTAAAATAGCTATAGAAAACCAACAATGTTCAACAGCTAAATCATCTGCATAGGGCCATGTTCAAAAGTTAAGTTACCTTACCAAAGGGCACAGTATATTACAGCTACGAGTTGTTTGGGAGCAAGTCTGATTGAGCAGCCTGCTAATCCCATGGCTGTCTCTTATAGACCTTCATCAGAGCCACTGGTGATTGTAACTAGAGAAGCCCAAGCGGTACCTACATCTACCTTTCTTCAAAGAACTGCGATTATTTTACATATAGAGATATACATGGATATATCCCTGCGTGTAGACATGTAGATATAGACGTCTCAATAATATATACATATATATATATAATAATAATAATATACTTATATATGTGAATATATATATATCCATATATACATATATACATATAAGTATATAGTACCAGTACATGGATGTACAAGTGGGTATAAGTACATATGTATATGCATGTGTGCGTGCATTGTTCACCACATGTCCACTTTGTACATCTCACATAAAATATGTATCTATAAACAAATGAATATATGTGCACACAATTATACAATATTATAGTATGAATATTATTGCGGACGAGTATACCATACTGTATACACATTGCCATATAGAATCCTCTGTTCTTCCATGTTCACTCAGCCATGCCTCGCTCTCGAAGAACGCTGCGAATCTGACTTTCACTGGAGGCGGACAGCTCGTTGCCTACCTTGTTGGCCACATAGCGTTTTTGTTAACCAACCGAAATGATGCTGAATAGGGACTGCACCAACTAAAGTTGTTGGATATTTTTCTAAATTAATATGTTGATGCAAATCAGACCGAGCTGGGATTAAAACTCCTGGTGACTGGAGGTTTTAGTTCTGGATTTTGCTCTTTCGAGCTGCTGCATTGTTGAACATTAAAAAAAACACGCGCACACACACACACACGGACAGAGATAGAATATACATATACATATATAAACAAACAAACATATTATATACATATGTAATCACATATATATATATGTATATGTATATGTATATTCTTCATATTTGGGCCAATAATGGGATACAATGAAATATAATGATATATATATATATAACAATCTATATTTACATTGGTGGGAAAATATCCCACCGTCGTATATGATCCTCACATGACGTCCTTTCTGCCTTCATTCACTCCGGGCACCTGTTCAAATTCTTCAGCTTTGCTGGTCAGGGTCACATACACAAACTCCTTGCCATTGGTGCGGCTAAGCCAGGCTTGACCAGGACTGGTGAAGAACAACTGGAAGTCAGAAACTGTTAAGAACCCCTCCGAAGAAAGGGTAATAACTTAATAACCCATTGGTTCCCCGCATCCGGATAGACAATTTTTGGTGATTTTCTGGTCCAGCATGCTCGGACAAGCCCGTGGTCATCACTACCAGATTGTCAATGTCAACATCTCCGCCCCCAAAAGAAAAAAAAACATAAAAAAACATCTGGAAATCGAAACGTTCAAATCTTTCAATATGGGTATGGGTCAATACCTATTAATACCATTTTTAGTGGGATGAACATCCATTTACCAGCTATTTAATTGATGTTCACCAGGGGTACAAGGTTTTGACCCATCCCCATATGGAACATCCAGCATTTACAGCTCTGAAGCTTGGGAGGTGCCCCCGTTCCCTCGGCTCCTGTTTGAACTGATAGGGAAGATCTCGATCCAACCAGGAAGTGCCCAGAAGCACCAAAAAGGTAGGGCTGCTTCCATTGGAGGAACCTGCACAACAATTCTTATCATACCCATAGGATCCATGTATGGTATATATATGCTAACATTGGGGGTATATTGATGGTAAATGTTATCATATATAGCATACATGGATCCTATGGGATATATACCAGTATTTATTTAAATCACTCTTTCAATTGAAATATAACTATGTATATATATATAATAATAATAATAATATACCTCCCAAAAATGGAAAAAACAAATCATGTAAAATCCTCATTGAAGTATATCAAAATGGTGGTAAATTACTTTGACATTTTTTGTATGTTACCATAGACATACAGCATGCTCAGCACTAAGTTGTACCAACCACAACCTAATTTTTGTGGCCCGTTATGCGGTTTTGACCCCCTTCGTACAGTGGTCTACTGATGAGTTTCATCTACGAACCAGCTGGGATAATACTCATATATGGGGGGTTCAATACTGAAATGGTCCAATTTTTGATGATTTGAGGTAACCCCATATGATGGAAATCTTCATATGGTTGCCTCAAAATCTGGCACCGGAAATCACAACTTCTATCATCCTTTTGCAGATTCAAACCGCCACTCGAACTCATTTGGTAAGTTCAAACACATTTTTTTGAAAAAATACTTTAGATAAGGTTCAGTTCCAGATCAGCAGGTTGGCTAAATCCAGCAATCCATACTTCAATGCCATCTTTGACACATTTCCATCACGTTTTTTTTCCTCACCTGTACTCTCCATGATGTTGCTGATCTCCGACTCTGCTGCAGTCAAACTTGCGTAAGCCTTGCACCGGTACCTGGGCCGCTGTGGGAAATCTTCACGTAGCTGGAGGCTCCTAATGGGAAATCATGGGGAAATCCCATGTATACATATATATATATATATGTGTATATATATATATATATGTGTGTATGTATATATATATGGATTTAATTAGAACATACATGAAACTACTCCATCCTTTTTGGTTGTCCTTCTTTGTTGGGGCGGGAAAAACAGCAAGATGAATCCAGGCCTGGTCCAATGTCCAGCCAAGGCACTCAAGCAGCTGGCACAACTGACAAATTTCAGCACGCACCAGCGGACATGTCTCCACGATGATCACGAAGAGATCTTTACCTCAGCGACAAATCTATACAGGACATGATATGGTGGAAATGACTGTTTCCAGGTTCCAGGTTCCATCGAGCCATTTTCCAGAATGTCTTATATCCTGGCACGAAATAAGGATTTTTGCACGCCATTGCATACGTTTAGCTTAGGCATGCACACATGCACAAGTTTTGCTTACGCGCATCTCTTGTCTTATGCAGAGCTTGAGCTGGCTTGCGCCCTAAACATGAACACAAGGTTTTGAATGTGGCTCAATTTGTTTTGGGGTGTTATGCTCTGTCAAATATATATATATATATACATGGCTAAGACAGGAAGCACAGGAAGCAATGCTTTGTCACGCTCAAGGGACCGTTGCAGGGTTCATCACTAAATTACCCGTGGTTCTCTTGACTTTCTTCTTGGTGACAGGAGATCATAGGAAAAGACCTGTTGACTCCTAGATGTGTACGGTTTGCATGGATCGAAACGGGGTGTTAGCAAGTCCACATCATAACTCATAACCCAAAAAGACGGTTATGTCATGTTCTGTCATGTATGCAAACTTCTATGGGGTAGATATGGCTTCAAAACCACACAGGATTTCTGGTTCCCGCACAACGCCCAGCTACTTTGGATGTCAACCGACTCCTCATTGTCCACCTTTCGGGTCACAATCTTTCTGAAGTTCCGCAACCTCAAGGTGGCAATGTTGAGGCTGCAGCTGAAAAATAGCTTGCAATATGCATGGACCGGTAGGGCATGATAAGTAAGTGTAATGTGTATATATATATATTACAATATATCATATAGTATGTTATATGTGTTGGTGTGCGTTTAAATATGTATATATATAATATTTGTATGGGCCCGGCGACAAGAAGGTCCCACGTGCAAACACACATAGAAATACACAGATTTTTTCTCTCACTGACTCACTGGGTGCCTTCATAAGAGGTGTTTCCTGGCCACACCAATTCTTAATTATTTCAGACTTCTCCCAGGGTTCTGAACGGGATGTTGTACTTCCTATAGGTTTCCTTACTGTGAAGTGTCTTTATGGTAACAATGTAGCAAGTCACATAATGTAAACCCACTAGCTACAGTAACCCATTTTTCTGTAGAGCCAAAATTGGATTCTATTTATTAACTAATGTTGGTAAATTTGGGGGTGAATCTTACCGCGCAACAACAACGCCCAGCAGCAGCTCCCGTTGATCTTCGCTCACGGCGATATCCAGCCTGAAAAATCGAAACATCGAAACGGTCCCCCCAGAAACCATGGTGGATGTTAGACGATGTTTTTACACTTTTTTTACATACCCAAATGCTCCATGTATGGAATATTTACCTACATTTGCTTTTTTTTGGTAAATACTCATACATATTCCATACATGGAGCATCTGGGATATAGATTTGGAACCATTTCGGGGGTAATGTTAGATGAGATGAAATATTCCCTTCATCCCAGTTGTCATCTACAAGTTTCCATTTCTCTCACTCTATCGCCTTCAGACACTTATCCATTATAGAATTACAATATACATACATAATACACACACATAACATAAATATATATATATATAAATATAAATATAAATATACTTGTATACTATATATATAATATTATATATATATTGTGTGTGTCCCACGATTCATCTATAATCAGCTTTGCCCCACGTTTGCGGATTCTCCGCCTTTGTAAGTTCTCCCTTGAAGAAAAACATCTTACCCGTTGTGTCCCAGCGACTTGGTCTTCTCTTCAGCTTGGTGCAGTTTTCGAGAAACCAAGACCAACAATGACCTGCCATTGCTGTGGCTGGGGTATGTTGGGATATTGGGATTTGGGGTGGAATAGTGATTTTCTGTTGACTCAAATCTGCGGATATCTATGGCGGAATCACGTTCAAGATCTTTCACCATGCATCCCGATTTGGCTTTGACCGAATCATTGGAAGGAAGATCCGGGAACACATCTAATACAACTTAGGAAGGATAAGGATCATGGGACAGAACAAGTATACGCGTCTTGCGCGAACCTAAAGCACAGGTACCGGCAAACTGTTCTATGGTGGTACTTCTACGTCAAACGTTCGCTTAAAATAAAGCAATACCGTCCTCAATATGTTCCCAATATCCGTCCCTGCAATATCCTGAACGAATCTGGGTGAGGTTGTATTGATTTCTGCTACTATCTGGTTAATTATTTAACATAGCCATGGAAAATCACCATGTTTAATAGGTAAACCATCTATAAAGGGGCCATTTTCCATGGCTATGTTAAATAACCAGAGGGTAGATATTGTAGACATTCAACTGTTGATGAAGGAAACTCCGCACAAGCTGAGAGTGACCTTTTTCCAGGAAAGCCCGCAAACATCTGCGAAAAAAAGCAGGCCTAATCCATTCTGAGGGAACACTACTTGATGCAACTTTTCTACCCTCTGGTAAACGTTCACATAACTATGGAAAGATCCACCATTTTTCATGGGACAACTCACTATTTCTATGGCCATTTTCAATAGCTATGTGGCTGTTTACCAGAGGGTACATCCCATTAAAATCACCATTTTGTTGGTTTTTCACCCCATTAAACCACCATTAAACCACCATTAAACCCGAGGGTAAATGCCTCAGGAACAAACCAAACAAAACCCCGTGGCAGTTTACCGGGTCCGGTTGGGGCCTGTGATTTTCTACTAGAAAATGAATGTTGTATAAATTAGGGACCCAAGAAAATCTAGCTACAGACATCAAACCAATTCGAGCTACCCTAGAAAATGACCTACCAGTGCCCCTCTAGAAAATCAGGGACCACTAGAAAATCTAGGAACGTCCTCCCAGAGATGCTAAAATTATGCTCCTGGATTTTGGGCACTTAAGCTACACAGAAAATCAGGGTCTCCCGACTCAGAGGTCTCCAAAAGTTGTTCTGTAGAAAATGAGGGGGTTGATAAAAGCAGCCTTTCATCAAAATCGAAGAATTTTCGCGCCAGAAAATCAGTCCTTCTTAGGGGGGTTGACCTCCCTGAAATCCTAGAGGAAACTCCAACCCCGTTCCAAACAATAAACCAATGGAGGAGTCTCTAGGCCGACTCTAGGCCGGCACAGGTGCCTCTGCTGTTCGATCAAGGAGCGCTGCCACGCTGCTTGCGTCTTCAAGCAACTGCAACAAGACCGGGGAATCATGTCATGGGTCCATGGGGCATACCTGGAAAAAATGGCCCTTGAATGGGGAAAATATGGGAACATATGGGAAAATATGGGAATGGTTTGGAGGTACCATAATAGCTATAATATTTAATATGTTCAAACAAATTCACATGTCACACAGACAGACAGACAGACAGACAGACAGACAGAAAGACGAACAGACATATAGACAAATAGATAAACACAAACACACACACATATATTATATTATGTAATATTATATTGTGTAATGTTATATTATATTATATTATATTATTGTTGTAGAGATGTGAGTAAACTTTAAACACCACTAAACGCACATTCTTCGCCAGTGTGCTTCTAGTGCCCCTTGGGTCAATCTGTGCTGAAGTGGGATGTAACCGGTTTAAGACCCCTAGAAAGCATGGAAAACAACTGTGCTTTTACCTACCTATAGTTCCATAGTTCCATGTCTTTGACTTTGGTTGGATAGTGAAAAATGGCTGGCGGATGCTGGCGGTGAAAAAATGGAGCCGCGCGTTCTTCAAAGAAATGGATTGAAGGCCCAAAAATCTTGAACGGTTATTTGCCATCACCGCACTTTGGATGATGTGGGAAATGGTGTTCCCTTTAGGAAATGGTGGGAAATATTGAGACAGTGATGGACTGTCTCGACATCAATCAACAAACAGGGGGTTCATCTATGTTCATCCCATTAATTAATCGTCACATTTAAATATATATGTAAATCCACATACCTGACATACCATGACAGAAATTGGCCATTCAATAACTGGGTAGAGTAATAAATCACCGTTAAATCACCGTGAAATCACCGTGAAATCACCGTGAAATCACCTACAGTAGCACCTGGTCAAGCCGGCCTGGTGGACAGGGACACTGAGCCCTGCGAAGTGATCAATTCGAAGACGGAGGCCTCGCGACATTCGAGCGATGGGGAACGCCTCGGGGGAACTGAACATCCCATGGGATTTTCCGGGGACAATTTTGAACCTGAAAGGTATATACGGTATAATCTTAAAGGGGGTTATTTTTTTGATATTTTTGGTAAGTATAATCATATAATCTGATTTAAAATTCTAAGGGGGATTTATATCAAATAATCTGAAACTGTAAATGGCTGATTTAAGGTAATTACAGCTTCCTGTAAAATGTCCATCATCCAATCCTCGTTGAAACCTCTAAACCTGGCTGGTAAACCCCGTTCGCTGGCTATTCCTGTGTCACATGCACGGTTTTCCGCCTCCATTAACAAAGGAATCTGCCAAAAATTCACGGAAAAACACTTCACTTGGATGGTGCCTCCCATGGTTTCCGTCTGTGTCCATCTGCAACCTCTGTGTCAACTCAACCAGCACTGAGAGGTGCTTACCATCGGTCCAACTCAACCCAGCTCCCAGCATGGCCAATCTTAGATACTCTGCAAACTGCAAAGGATTAGATCTCAAGCTGGATAGTTACTAGGCTCATATACCCCTAGTTCGCGCACCAAAAAAAAATAGTACATGTTAGCAATTGTTAGCCGTCGTGACCAGTGAGTTTTTCCTCTTAATAGTCAGTGGGAACAAATAGACTAATTACCCATCCCATCCTGTTCTCCAGTTGCCTTGCCCATCTCTTGCGATGAGTAGTAGGACATCTTGTCATCTGCCAAGTCTGCCTCCTCCACTTCGATTCGGTTGTTAAAGGCATCGTCCAAGGAATGCTCCTCGATAGCGGCGATATATGGCGATATGCCGGCACCGAAGTGGAAGGGACTGACACAAAGAAAGCCGCCCCGCATCCGCAAAGCCAAGGAGCCTTGATACTGCACAAGCGCCTGGGTTGATTGCTTCCCCTGGGTATCTTCAATCCAGCTTCATGCACTGTGGCCAAGAACTGCAGGAACGATGGGCTTTCCACACAGGAGATCCTGCAAATGACAGGAATGTAGCGGAGCGCGGCATGTTTTGCCGTAGGGGATTCGGAATTCTGGTTTTCAACCACAAGCTTGAGACTTGTTGAGACATATCAGGTGACGTGCCCATGTGGTTTACCTAGTGGCGGAAGGTGCCCCTGACCCACCCATTTCAAAAACACTCCGAGGTACCCGTGCTTCTGGTTGAAATCTGCTAAAGATGTGCAACTGAAGGTGGAAAAATTCGAGGTGCTGCGGTTGTAGCCATTTCTCCTGCTGAAGCTGGATGGTGGCCAATGGGGGAAACCTTGGCCAAACCTTGGCGAAACCTTGGCGATCAGAACCGGGCTGATTTTTGGCCGGGCTGCGTTTTTTGGGATTGTTTTCTTGCTTCATGCAAAAAAAAAGTGTTTTTGGGGCACTTTTCCTTGCTCATTTGCTACATTTTGGCGCAAACATCTCTCATTTGCACGCTTTGCAGCAATTTGCAGCTAAATTCCAGCCCATTTCCACAATCTGTATGTGCATCATGTTTACCGTAAAGTAAACTGACATCTGTTAAGTACATGGTATGTGTGGCATTTTGGCGCAAAGATCTGCAATTTGCATGGTATTTGCTACAGGTGGAAAAATGAAACCTGCTTGCGTTGTTCTTTAGTAGTTTTTTTCTTCTTGATAGCACAATGGCAGCAGCTCTCGGCAATTGAATCTCTATTTGCGCAATATTTACAGCTCTTTCCCGTAGACGACAACCCCTCACATTTGCCCAAAGTCTTTTGCAGGGTTTTAGGCTATTTTAGGCACTTTGGGGTTTATTCGGGATAGTCTTATGATTCCTTTAGGGTTGCTTCAGTGCTTATTTAGGGTTGGTTTAGCGTCTATTTGGGGTTGGTTATGTTTTATTTGGGGTTGACAGTACCTATCCTCACATGTAATGATGTAGGTCGAATATGGTCGATAATATGGTCGAATATGGTACCCGGGGTGTATGTAATGCACGACATGCACCTTGTGAACACGTAGATGTAGAACATAGGTTGAGGCGCAACGGTGCTGGGTGTATAGATGTTACGATTCTATCGACGTGTGCCTATACGTTCCAATATTGTTAGATCTTGTCTTTCCTATAAAAACATTCTTATTGTTATTATGTTTATTCTGTCTAATTGATGTGCTACTCATTGTCTGCACAATAGTTGCAGCACACTGCCAAGACACCACAAAAGGCAAAAAATACAAGAAGCCATCAAGCAGCAAAAGCCAAAAGACAATAAGCCAAGAAGCCGAGAAGACAACAGTCGCAAAAGCCACAAACGCCAAGAATCCAAAAGCCACAACAGGCACAAAAGCCATATTCCCAGCCCCGAAAACAAGAAAACCAGAAATCATACCAAAAAAGATGCCACTCCTTTGGGTAAAGTAGACGTTATTAATGTATCTTAATGTCATGGTCATGATTTCATCAGTCTTTCTGGACACGGGCTACTCCACCACGGGGATACAGAATTTGACAACCTGTCTTGCGGGGCTGGTTAAACTTTGGGGTGCCTCAACTCGCTCACACCGCCCTTTCCTGGGCCCAAAGAAGACGTCTTGCCCTTACTGCAGTGTCTGCGTTTGAATATGCTTGTGGCGAGTGAAAATCTGGCCGTCTCCTGGCTGTCTCTGAGTCATTCACGCTGCCTGGGGCGCAAAACACGTGTTCACTTGGGTGACGGGAGCAAATGGAAGTCTCCCCTTTCATAGGTCTGGAATGGTCTGGAGTAATCTCATGTACTTAGAAGGTAGCTGATTTTCTTAGCATGCCGAAGATAGCCAAATATGTCCAAATATATTTCTTACGGCATGCACAAATCTAAAGTCCTTAAAAGTGTCAAGATCAATAAGTCCTCACTACTCACTGATCCGGACCGTTAGAGGTCAAGTGCGTGGAGTATCGGCTGACGTGTTGGAAAAAGGCAGGAAAGGGCAAAGGGACGCAATGGCAAAAGCATACATCCTGTGAGACAAATTTTAAGGTCATCAGAAGTTAAGGACCATCTGCAAACAAAAATCGGCCATGGTGAAACATGCAAAAGTTACCCTCTGGTAATTTAACATAGCTATTGAAAATGACCATTTATAGTGGATTTTCCCATTAAAAATTGTGATTTCCCATGTAACAATTAAGGAAGGATTGAATCTTGCCGAATCTTGATCCCACATGGTGCTTCCTTCCCACGGACCGAGCGGAACCACAGCTGGACGTGCCGCCAAGTTGCTTGTGTTGGACGTGCCGCGATAGAGGCCCAACGGCCTGCGATTCGCGGAGATGAAGAGAAGCCACAAATTGATTCGTGCTTGTTTAGTACTATTATATACTATCACACACAAATACATACATACATACATTACATTATATACATTACATTACATTACATTACATTACACTACATTACATTACATTATATTACATTACATTACATTACATACATGCATACATTCAAAAATATATATATATGCATATATGTATATATGTATATGCATATATATATATATATATGATGTATATATATATATATAGATGTATATGTATACGTTTGCATATGTATATATAGGCTCGTCCAGGCTTCTGGAACTACCTAAACCTTGGGGTAAAGGGGTGGGGTGGGATGTTAACGTTCATGTGAACTTGCGGCAGCAGTTGATGCTACGCACACGCGGGGTGGGGGGGGGTGGGGTGGGATGTTAACGTTCATGTGAACTTGCGGCAGGATGTTAACGTTCATGTGAACTTGCGGCAGCAGTTGATGCTACGCACACGCGGGGTGGGGGGGGGTGGGGTGGGATGTTAACGTTCATGTGAACTTGCGGCTCGATGTTAACATTCATGTGAACTTGCGGCAGCAGTTGATGATGATGTGATGATGATGATGATGATGATGATGATGACCCTAATGAAACTTGTTAATTCCGCGACGAAATTTCGTCACGGAATGGACAAGTTTTACCAACCTAATTCAGGTTTAGGTAGTTCCAGAAGCCTGCACGAGGCTATATATACATATGTATTATATATATATACTATACGCTACGATAATATTTAATATTTTGACTCTTGAACGGTCAAACGATGCAATGCCCACCTCCGGCCGCCCTCCTCCGCTGGATGACCTGCGATCCGCACGGTTGTCTGGGGAGGAATGATTTAATTTAGGTCCACCTGACCTGCATCGGTGGATGGCCCTTGGAATATCATGATAGCTTTATAAAGTAGAAACATATACCTTGGAATATGAACTACTTGTCCATTGGTGGATTAACTACTAATTGGGTTGTAGCTTGTGTATGTTTGTGTATGTGTGTATTTCGATTATCTACCACCTAGAATGGCAGGCTAAATATAACTAACCAAATAAAATTGTAAATTGTAACCATCTATATCGTAACTGGATTCCGCACTAAGCCCTTCCGCCTAGTGTAACAAACCTCCCTGAAAACATGGTTTAGTATGGTTTAGTATGTATGTGGGTTCCCTAGTCGGGGGAATTTCACATTAGGGGGATCATGGGAGGTCGCTTGGGAAGCCAACCACAAAATGGGGATTATCGAGGATGATTGATCATTTTTGATGCTCTTAATACATGAATATAATAGAATATGGCTTATTGCAACACATCGATTTGGACTGGGTGAGCAAAGCGTTCCTCACTATTTATACCCAGAATGGGTGGAAATCGCCATACCTCATCTGACCCATCTAGGAATTCAGTGCAGAAAGCACGTCTATGCAAAGGACTCTGTTGAGATGCTCACCCTCAATGTTCAAAAACATGGCAGCTGGCAATAGAAAATCTCTCGTTTCCAATCACTTTCTTTACACACCATATATATATATATATATACATGCAACATATGTAAAAATATGTTACATATACAACGTTAACGGTGTAATCATATATCTACACACAGCAATACATTCCATCCATTCAACCGAGTTGCTGCTGCTATTGGAGGAGCCTCTCAAAAGTCCCAAGCGCCTAAAAAGCGCGCGGCAGAGCCAGCAGACCCATGGCAGTCATGTAATACTATCAACCCCAAAAAAGATAGAAAAACATGCTTGGTACAGCTTGGTCATATTTTAGTAGGGTTATGTAGGGTTTTTACTTTTCTATCTTTTTAGGGTTAGTTAGTATACATCATACATCCAACTGTACAAGTAGTTGTCAATTCACATAAGTGAGAAGCCAAACTTTTTTTTGGGATGAAACCAACTGTTACCCATCATTTGCGGAAACCTAGTTGTGAAGTCAAAAAGTGACAAAAAAATCTAACATGAAATCACAAATTGGATGGTTTGCAAATGGATTTTTAATAACCATGGTTCACCCTCCGATACTAAAAAATTGGAATTGGACATCCTCTATAAATGAAGGTTTTAATATGTTTTAATGGCAAAATCAACTATAAATGGGATATGTATGGATATGTATGGATATGAATCATTTCCATATTTGATTGCCATGGTATACTTAATTATCACAGACCGTCTTCATGTACTACAGCTGCCATTTGCTGCGCCTGCCGAGGTAGCTGCTATCTGGCCCACCACCGGTACCTGTAGACTTGGAGCATGTAGACTTGGATCCCTTGAGCTCATCATGATGTATCAACATCAATGTGAAAATGAAGAATAATGTAGGTAAAACATGGTATACCATAATGAACCATCCCCCAAATCACCATTTTGATGGGTGGTATAAACCATCAAACATGGGGTGGTTTATTATTGTCTTACATTGTCTTACCCACATGAAACACAATCTAATATCAATGAGTGAGCTCTCTCCCACTCACATTCTAAAAGAATGATCCGAAAAAAACAAGTGCCATCAAGCACCGTTGAACCCCGTCGACCGCCGGCGGTCACTGCAATTCGAACTGCTTCGACGGAAGAATCGACTGCGCCAATGGCATCATGGGTCAACACACGGAGATTCAGTGTCAATGATCGGAGATGAAGGTAACAACGCAGAACCAAAAGCTGATAAAATGCGTTTTGATCTTGGCTATATCATATGTTCTTTTACTCGATATAAACATATGGAATATGGATATTTAGATGGTCTGGGCAATAGAAAAGCTGGCGGAATTTTGGAGTTAGTTTCAGACCAATATAGGACTGAAGGTCTCTTGCATCAATATACACATTGAATCATTGATAGATTTGGTGGATATGTGGATCGACCAATGAATACATGAAATACATCGTGCCATGATTTTTGTGTTCCCATGGCTTGCCACAAACAAAAAAAACTGACCAGCGAGCGGCTCTCAATGACTTCAGGGCCAGTATGGCTTAGTGATGTTAAACATTCAAACCACAAGAACTATCAAGAACCAATTTGGTATGGACCACCGCCAGCAAAATTGCTCACTTTTATTTGGTGAAGCCATCCATTTCGGAAAAACCTATGGGGGGTTGAGAATTCTAACCCCGGTGGCTCCGTCGTTGACCTGGCAAAGGTCGATTCTTCCTGACAGTTGTCGCTACCTTGGTGGCTCTTCAGCAATCCCCTTCCATCATCTTTCTGTCGCCGATTCCACATGCCACCAAACTCTCAACACCACAAAAAAGGGTCCCCCAAAAAAATGGAAAGTAAACCGTTTTTAAACCACCATCCAGAGAGTAGCGAATATATCGTTCTGAGCAAGTGATTACTGACTCCCTAAATCTGAAATAAACATATATACTATATACTCTCTCTCTATCTTTTCTTGTCTTTGATATTATTAGTTCATTCAACTCTGGTTTTCTCGTGGCAAGAATACAATACATTGAATTGAGCTACACTTTCTGAATATCTTTCATGCTTTGATTCCCTATCTCATCATCCTGCTGCTTTCCAAGTTCCAAGGCACCCAGGTTTGAAGTGCTATGCTGGATACCATGCCTGGCTGGCTTCCGAAAAAGGAACCCTTTTTCGGTCACCATGGGTTTTCGTGACTTGATTCAAGGGGTACTCCAATCTTTTTCAACACCTCCATTGTTGACCCCCAAAAAAAGATAGAACAATAGTCTTGAACTCTTGAACTACTTTAGCACCAGTTTTCACAGTTTTATCTTCTTGGGAATTGCATTGCATTGTGGACGTGCATTTATCAGATGGGACATACCCCAAAATGATCCAAAATGGCTATTTTTTTTCTGAAACTATGATGATTACTGTAACCCAGTGGAATTTGTTTAGCCTATTTTCAAACAACCCCGAACCCCGTATTTGACTATTGCGTCAATGTTTGATGAAGCTGATTGAGTTGGTCTTCCCAATAGTTTGGCACCCACAAACAAGGCTGGCTCCTACCCAAGCTTAGATAGGATTAGTTCTCATCCAGTACTGTCATGTCAAAGGTATTGAAAATTTGGAGAGCAGTTTCTAAGTGGGCAGGTTGCAAGCTTACAATCTTTTTCGGCGTCGGGGTAGGACCATCAAGTCGGCTGGAGCGGACTGAAAAGGTCAGTCTTCGAGATGTTTGGTGGTTTGGGGCTGGCCATGTTTCTGACGCATCTGAATCTGTGGATGAAGGTGACCACAGGTGTCTCTGCCGGATCTCTCCAAATCTGAAAATGTGCGACCCATTGGGGGCCCATCTTTTGATGAATATGTGAGCAGGACGCAAATCCACAAGGGTTCAATGCGCAGCAAACCAAAGCATGTCAAATAATGCCACTCGTCGCTTGAGAAAACAAGTATGTCGCCTTCCCGAAAACGATCTATACACTTCCCACCTGGAAAAACAATAAAAACAAAAGAATGAAACACACACACACGCACACACACACATGAAACCCGTTAAAATGCCGGGACATACTATTTGGTGGTTTTGGGATACAAAAAACCTATAGGATCTACAGCAAAATGACCAACTCAAAGAACTCAACAAAGCTGGAGAAACTTCGACCAACCCCTGCCTGCTGAGATTGGAGTTGCTGTGGCTCAGGCCCAGCAGCCTGGCCAAGAAAAAACACCCGGGGAAAACCCTTTGTGTTGGAGGGATCATAGATAGATATAGTTTTAAACATATGTGCATATGCATATATACATATATGCATATATACGTATATACGTACACGCACACACACAGAGATATACATATATATATATATATACATACATGTATACATGAATACTATATATATATATGTATGTATAAATTATACTATGTATATATGTGCGTATGTATGTGTATTTATTTATATATATATATATATATATATATATGTATAGGTATATGTATAGGTATATGTATGGCTGATCTGGATACCCTGCATTTTTTGCTGCAGCGGCTTTGTTAATGATTATCCCATTCATAGCAACGCATTCAAATCTTAATGATATTGAAGTACCCGTCCAAGTTACGACCCAGAAATCATAAACCATCCCCGATGTGTGGGTGACAAAAACCATCATGTGGGTTACATAATCATATAATATTAGATAGATGAGCAGCCGTCAAAGCATGTGGTGTCGGCCTTGCTCAAAATAATGTTGTGGTATTGCAAACTTGGAGGACGCTATCTCCGTAAAACGTGCTTAACCTGCTCTTTCATTACATTTGTGTTGTGATCCCTGCAAACAAAAGTGCTCTGCGGGTATTTTGACCCTGCTCCACACCATTTTTCCCAGCATCGCCTGGTTAAGAAACATTATGGCAATCATTTTCTTCCAAGATTTACTTAATTTTATCTAGAATAATTATATGAGGTGATTTGCCTACTTGACATGGCTTTGACAATAGGTCAGCGCTAAATCCATTGATTCATCGCCATGTAAAATGCAATGTTTCCAATGCAATTTCTGCATGTTTTGGTGCAATATCCTAATTATATCCCCATTACATTATGGCTGTATAGTCCCATGAAATATACGCAATCGATTCTCTCCTAAATCGAAAATCGACTTTCATTGGCTAAACAACATCTTGGGAGGTATATGGGTAGAATTCAGATATTTTCAGACACAGACAACATCCAGCTGGGGCTGCCTGGGAAGACCCAAGGTTCCATCAGCACTACCTAGGCTGCCATGGTGGGTTGGTTAGTTGAAGGCAACATTTATAACTGCTTGGTCACTTCTACCATCTTCTATCAATCTCAAAAAACATGGTACTTAATTGGGATCGTCTAGTTACTAGGGGAAAAATACATGAAAACCATCAATGAAACACGGTTAAACCATCTTTGGAAGCACGAAAATCCTCGGTGGAGTCCACCCTGAGGACCTCAATCTTGTTGGCTCTAAAAAGGGCATCAATTTCCAGGATCCTACCCTCCAGTACACTAAGATAAGTATGAAAATGGATGAGCATGGCCTATTTTATAGATGAATTATATGATTGTATTATATGAAAATTATATGCCTATTAAACCTGCTGATTTCCATAGCTACGTTATTAAATATGGTGATTTCCTTAGCTATGTCCGCTATTGTTAGTTTACCAGCGGGTACCCTAGGGTAAACTAAGATGTGGAAAAAAATAACATTTGTATAGATCGTTTTCATGGGGTTTCCCGATGGTATTTCCAGATCTATTTGTTAGTTGACTTTTTGGGGAAATCAACCACAATCACAATTATTAAGCATTATCAATTATTAACCATTGTGGTTGATTGATCATTATTAATCATTATTAAATTGATAAACCATGGGACACATTATTAAGCATTATCAATTATTGATCATTAAGTTATTAGTTATTAACTACCATTGTTAACCATTATTCACCATTGCTACAGTAAACATGTTTAATGGTTAATAACTTAATAATGATCAATAACTTAATGTTTAATGTTTTTTTTTTAATAATGATCATATTATATCATATTCACCATGACATTAATGGTTATTTTATGGTTATTAAACTATTATTAACCATCGTTTACCCCCGTTGTGTCCAAGATGCCGAGACTGGAGCCCCGGTTGATGCCAGAGCCGCCAGACCTTGGATGAACAACATCCAGTAAAACCATCTGGTGAACTGCTGACATAGCAATGGTATAAATGGCTATAGAAATAGTGGATTTTCCCATAAAAAGATGGTGATTTATAGTGGATTTTCCCATTAAACAATGGAAAATGGCTATTTATAGTGGATTTTCCCATGAAACATGGTGGATCTTTCCATAGCTTTTTGTATGTTCACCAGAGGGTAAGACCATGAACTATGGGCAAAGTATGATGAAAAACATGGCGCTATGGCTGCATTTTGAACATCAAGTCGTTGATTTTTCAGATTTTTCTGCCATGGATTTTCATATTCAGCCGGCTGAATGTAGCTAAGTAGCTACAGTATACCGTAGTATACCATCGTTCTGATCTTTCCATGGGCTTTTCATGGGACTTTAATGGGATATGTTTTTGGGATGTTAATTCTGGTTGTCTATAATGTGGCAACCCTAAAGCCATGAGCCGACCAACCGACCCAAAATGGGTATGCTTCGAATTGAATCCCACTCATGTAGCAGAAAAAAAAGCAGAATTAGTTCTGATTGCCCACTGCCATTTAACATTGTTGGATTTGAAGCTGAGTTATACAGTGCCAATCTTAGTACCCTGCCAAAAAAAAAAAAACTTAGCTGGTTAGTAGATAATCCCATTGATACCAAAAGACTAAAGGACTACAGTATATCAAAGTGCTCATCTAAGATTGACCTAGTATAATATCTGGTTGGTGGTTTCAACCCCTCCGAAAAATATTAGTCAGTTGGGATCATTATTCCCAATATATGGAAAATAAACAATGTTCCAAGCCACCAACCAGATATGTATCCCATTAAAAATAGTGATTTTCCCATTAAACATGGTGATTTTCCATTTCAAACTCACCACACCCATCACAACCCGGCCTGGTGGGCACTGCTAGAGTGCCATCTGCACTACCTGACCCATGGGACGAGAATCAGAGATTTGGGTTTATCTGAAAAAAGCTGCGCAAAACAAATATATATTAGAAATCTATTATTAACCACTATTAACCATTATTAAGAACTATTATGGTTTCTAGAGATTAACAACTATGAACTATTAACCATTATTAATCATTATAGTTAACTATATCATCATGTCCCCCCATTGTTCATTTGCAAAAAAAAATGGCGCATTCTGAATGACAAACCCAAATCCTAATGATTCCATCTTTGGCAATCCCTACACTGGGTGTGGTTTAACATAGGAGGATCTACCTGCCATCTTTCCTCATCACCTCTGGTGGGGGTTCCATAAACGCCCATTTTAGCCAGCAAAAACTATGGTTTATCAAACCCTTTGGGGCTGCAGTTTCGCTGAATAAGTGGCTATGTTTTGCCGTAGTTATGGAGGTGATTATCAATATGCCAACTTGTAGGATATGTCACTATGGTTCTGCCCTGAAAAATAACCCAACTGCACCCCCAAGTGTCCCGTGCAAGACCCTGGTTTATCCTGGTGGCTTTATGTAGCAGCCCCGAATGGACAATTGAAAAGTGATGAAGAGTTGTATGAACTTAACATCAACAGGAAGCCATAGGGAATTTTGAATCGGATTTTGGCTGTGAATAGTATTGCTTTAAGAGGAACTTGACAGGAAGCCATAGGACACCCATCTGATGGGCTTTTCCCCATGGATACCCTCTGGTAAACGTTCACATAACTATGGACAGATCCACCATGTTTAATGGGAAAATCAACTATTTCAATGGTGATGTTCAATAGCAAACTGTTGACATAACCAGAGGGTACATCCCATTAAAATCACCATTTTGTTGGTTAAACCACCATTAAACCACCATTAAACCACCATTTTCCTACCAGAGGCTACTGCGGTAGATTAAAAAATGGTTCCCGTGTCGCCAAGCTGCTAACACTGGAGCTGTGTCCCAAACTCATCTTCCTGAGCGGAAGAACCCCAATGGACATGACGAAATCGAAATAGGCTGCTACCCCATAAGAAAACCATACAAAACCCATAGTTGATCAGAATATCTTCCAATGAACATGCAATCTCATGGGCTTATGTTCATGAGTGTGTTCTATGTTCAATTGATTGGTTTATGGAACATCTCCGGAAAACCATGGATTGATTGTCATATCAAAAATGTGGGTACTAAACCCCTCTACATTTTTTCCGTAATCCCATGCAACAATTTTGTTGGGTTTTTGTCCACTTCAATTGGATGTCAATCATCATATTCCTCATTCGTTAGAATTCTTATGGTGCAGTTCAACCTTGGGACACCCCACTGCCTCAAAAAGTGGTTAAACGCTAACAATCCCATGCGCAAAATCATCAGAGTTCCATTTTCAGTGGAATTCTCATGGGCATCCCCGGCATGAAAAAACACACGCCCGAAACTCACCAAAACAAACATAAAAATAACATTTACAAACATCCAACACAAAATAATATAAGTTCAAACATCATAAATTCAGAAATTTACAAATACCAAATTCACAAAATATGTCGATTTGTGACTCACCAGGATGGCCCCCTCGATGGGCCTTGGAAGGCCCAAAGTGCCATCTGCACTACCTGACATCTGGCGGTCATGGCGGTCATGGTCAATCTAAGTTGGTATATCATAATATATGTGTACAAATATATATATATATATATATCGATTTATTTACGTATTTATGTACTTTTAAAATTATCTATTTGATTAAATGCTTATATATACATACAGTACTGTACACATAATTAAAAATTCAATCTGAGTGAATGTAATGCAATGTAAATCCAATTACCATACTTAACGCCATGTATTGGTTTCCGTTTGTTCAGAATGGTTACACAAAGATGCACGATGAAGCTATCACACTACAGGATGCTGAACCAAAGGACCAAAGGTGGTGATACCCTTCTGCAATCGAACGCGGCTAGCTGGGAAATCCCCGAGCTAAAGGGAGGTTTATAGCTGAGACATCGCACTAAATGGATCTAAATGCTGGGTTTTCAAGCAAACCATATAAGGGTATGATGGGAATGTCATGGGGATATCGTATAATATACCAGAAACAGTAAGGATCAATAAGGTAATAATTCGGCTATCTTTGGAATAGAATATTCACCCCGTCATGTCAGAAAATAAAAATACCTTATCTTGAGGTGTTTTCATAGGCTTATACGTATATATCTTAGATAAATATACCCAGCAAAATCTAGCACTAATGGGGGTTATTAAACAATTCAACCACAAACAGTGGGGAGTTAACAAACTATGACTATGATAGGGATACAATGGAGATATGATGTGGTAAATCCAATAATAAACAATCCCCTAAAAATCATCGTACATGGCTTGTATACACCATCCCCACATGGTTTATTATTGGGTTGCCCACATTAATGAGAAATGTTACCCCCTGGTTATTTAACATAGCCGTGGTATAGATGGCCCATTTAGAAATAGATGGTTACCGTTCTTAAAAATGGTGGATCTTTCCATGGCAAACTGTTAGTCATAACCAAATGGTAACCACAATGCTCCATTTTTTGATACTACTTGGCTTCAACCACCATGTGGCTCTGCTTTCCAAGCTGCCAAGGCTTCCAGAGTGCTGGTACTGTCCCGCGGGCCTCGCACGGACTGAAGTCGTATCACGCTATGGGTGGGAGGAAGGGTCAAGTCTGCGGATCGTATATGTGTATATATATATATGTATACATTGTTCCATTACACATGTTATACTTACACATGTATATATATATATATCGTCCATCGCCATCTCAACAGTTAACAGGTGAGAATAGAACAAACTATTCATGTTTTGTGTGTATTAATGTATGTATTTTCAACCATTCACATATTTAATTTTTAAAGCATTTGTATATACATAGTGATTTCTATATGTGTTCTATGTTCTTCATACACATTCATGCGCGTAGTTCCGACAAAGTAACAAAGCTTCGCGGAAGCCAGGTGTCGGGTCATTCCTGGTGGCGGTGTCAGTTCTCACCCGGACCACACCTTGGCACTGGCAAAGTGCCATCTGCACTGCCTCAGTGCCCAAGAGAATGCGGGAAAAGAGACAAGAAACATGTAGACCACGACCTATAATGATCTACAGTGTATATATATATATATATTATACACATACGTATAAGTATAGTTATATTATATATATATATACACATGAATATGTTATATATATATTTATATATAAAGACAATTACAGATATATACACATCCAACTGAATTTGCGTCAGCCCAAAGGCTGAGGGGAGACTCCAACATTTCGGCCCAGCAACTCAAACTGGACGTGTGATTAAGGGAAGCTGACCTGCACCATCGGCTCTGCGCAGCCCGGGGTTGCAAGTCATGGGGAGCCGCTATTTGCCATCCTAGTTCTTAGTCATTTTCATATGTTTTCATATGGGGAAAGCATGGGAAACCATGGGAAACCATATTGGAATTTTTGGGTCTCCCTACTTTGAGAGTCATCCAGTGAAAAAATCTTGCTCAGTGCATGTTCGCCTGAGATCTTGATTCACATTGGGCCCTCAAAACTCCTACAACTAGTTTGGCTAGAGAACATGTATCACCCTGGCTGGTTCAAGGGAGGGGGGCAAGACCAATGCAAGCCACCAGCACATGAAGTCAAAAACCGCAATCACACAACATCGCAGTGTTGCAACCAACATCATCGGAAAATGCCCCATCTGGGACAATGAGAATATGTCATATGTCCAAAACCTGAAATCAGGGGATTTTGGGATGAGTTACGCTATCAACATCTATCAACCACTCTAACTGGCAACTGATCTTTCCCCTACTGAAATCAACCTGTACCCAACCAGCCTTGGCGGCAAAGCACCTACAAAAGGGTGTCATTGCCATCAAATACATGATGCATGAATCATGAGGTCACACAAACAAACACATCTCACATGTGTATATATACATACAGTATATATATAGAGAGAGAGAGAGTGATGGGGAAAGAGAGTGAGAGAGACTTATTTGATCATATCTGATCATATTTGTCCTACATAGATATGGTGGACCTTCATCTGCAAAGGTAGTCATAGATATGCCATATGCCAACTCCCAAACGCATATCACGGAGACACTGGACATTTCTCTCTGTCTCAGGATTCTCAGGACCTCCAGATCCAATCACTTCAATATGACATTTATATTGACTTCTAGGTCATCATATAGTGTCTTATTGATTTATATCATCTTGCACTTATATTGCATTGAATATATATGTTATTCACTGATGGCAACTGTGGAACAGTGAATGTATCCTGGCTGCCAGGGCACCATTAAAACCAGGCTCAGCAGGTGTTGCTGGTCGGTTCCTTAGAGTCATCAATGACTGGTGTTTCTATTTCCAGGATATCCCTATTTTAGATGGTTACTGTAAATACTGTTAAAATAATGTTAAATTATGTTAAATCCTCTATATTAGGTCACCAGCTTACTGATGATCATCATTCTCAACTTACTCTCATCCTTACACTGTGATAATCACCGTCCAGGTTTATGCAGGAAACAGCTGTGGTGTGAACAGGCTGACCTTCGAGAAGGTACAAAGCCAAACATTCAGAAGAAATAAACACACACAAACTGGTTGGTGGTTTTAAATTAGTCAATGGGAAGGATTATCCCATATATTATGGAAAATAAATAAAACATGTTTGAAACCACCAACCAGCAAACATACACCAGTTTCAAGCAAGGTACTGCACAACGCGTGCAACTCAATATGGGAGTCTATATATATCCTATACCAGTTTGCAATTTTCCAGGTTTTGCAATTTGGAAACAAAAACGAGGCTGTAGCCCACCTTACGATTAAAAACAAAAATCACCCACAAATTCCAGGGTCTTTGTTAATTTGAAAACCTAAACTCTCTGCCAAGTTTCTCCACGACTTCAGTGACCACCTGACCTGTGCCCAACAAGATCGGTAGTTGGGAACCATCGGTCAGCTTCAACCATCTATGGTGAGGTACCAAATTCAATTGGGAAAGTAGACATACCGTCTTTGGGTTCTAAAGAAAGGAAAGAACGCGATGGAGCTTGATCACTGAAACAAAACGTTCATCTATTCATATCTATATATGTATATGCATAAAAAGCGAGCGAAAAATACCCAGAGAGATTTAAAACTATATAAAACCATATGCACATGTAGCTTAATATGCATCTCCAAAGTTCGGCTTTTTCATCATTCCAGTGAAAAGACATACCGCCCAGAGCTGTGCCGACCTTGTTCGCTGTTCATCCAGTCCAAGGCCGACATATCGTCCTGACATACATATACATATACATATACATATACATATACATATACATATACATATACATATTATACATATACATATTATACATATACATATTATACATATACATATTATACATATATATTATACATATACATATGCATATACATATAATATAATATAATATTAACATCTTATAATATAATATAATATAATATAATATAATTAATATAATATGACATAATATAATATATGATAATATGATATAGGTGAAAGTAGCCATTAGACATTGTATATCTGTGTCAGTGTATAAGAACACACACACATACATATGTATATATATATATATATACAAATAACGGGTGGTGAGTTATGGAACCGTTCATCCAAATTCTTAATGGGTTTTCCCTGTTAAGCAAGTCTGCAAGAGGCAAGGGGTTGGGGGATGACCGGGGGATGTATGAACGGTGTGCGTTGTTTCAAGACCTCCTTGTTGATGCCAGAAATGACAGCTTCTAAAGCATTCTAAAGCCCATTCAAAATCTAAAATACAGCAAAATTACATGTAATTACAGTAGTTGAGGAACACATCCAATTTCACTTGACTATTCCTTAATCCCAAAGAATAAAACTTCAATAAGTCCCCCCGAAGTCTGTGCCCCGACTCTCCTGCACAAAGGCTTTGGCAAGATCACGTGGAGGCATCAGCAGCTCCGAGGACAAAGGGCCCAAACCTGATGGCTTTTGGGATGGAGCTATGGATATATACTTAATACTTAATGCACATGTATCATCATGTTTATAATTACTACATATACATATATATATACATACATATATACATATTTACATATGTATTTGTAAGTATGTTAATATATGTTAATATATGTTAATATATGTTAATATATGTTAATATATGTTAATATATGTTAATATATGTTAATATATGTTAATATATGTTAATATATGTTAATATATGTTAATATATGTTAGTATGATTGTATATGTATACGTATACTAAACAACCTCCAAAAAAAGGAAAAGTAAAACCCAACTAAAAGGTGTCGGGTTGGTAGATACCCGTGAAGGATTTGAATGTTTTGGGGTAATAACATCCGTTGTCAGTCAACTCGATACATCTGTTCCAGGGTCCTATCCCAAACCTTCTACATCTATTTGTAGGTATTTGTCCGCAAACCAACTCACCCTCAAACCATCTCTCCCTAAAAGCCTTACGTAAGCATTGTACATCTATATATTCACGTCGTCAAGGGTTCCTACTGGGTGCTTAATCACACTTTTCATTGTGACTTCCCTGCAATGAAATGTCCTGTCTTGGGAAAATGTCCACAACAAACTGCACACAACATCCAAAACTGTGATGCTTTCGTTCCACTCTTGTGCATGGGCAGTATCATTGATATAAATCGCATGTGCTGCAGTTGTGGGGAGGAGCTTTCGCTCTCTGTCAACTTCTGGATCATTCATGTCATTCTGATGTTCCAAATATGCTGCGCAGTTGACTCTTAAACAAGTTATAGCTCGTCATGTGCCGAAAGCATGACATGAGCACATATGAACATGTTGCAAAAAAAGAAAACAGCATGTTCAACTCATGATGTGTCAGAACACGCACGGGTATCTACCAGCCGTGTAAATAGGAATGCGCATTTCTATCTTTTTGGGCCGCAATACTATCTGCAATACACCTAGTATCACCTAGTATACATAGCAAAACCTGCGATAATTGCAAACGCAATGTCACACACACACATACATGAATATTTATATATATATATATATTATACATGTTTTATGTAATGTAATATATATATATATACATGCTATACTTTTACTGCACTCAGTGGCCATCGTTACAAATAATACCACCATCGTATCGTTAGTATCTCATCCAGGATGGCCAGCTAGCGGCGACTCTGATTTAGGCTATGGCGGCTATGGTTGTTTTCAATAGCTTTAAGATGAAACCAGGCGTAGTTGAAAATTCACTGAAAACAAAGCTCGAAAAATGTAGTATATCAATGGTTGTAGTTGCTGTATAAGTTTTATATATATATACAGAGAAATGCGAATTCTCCAATTCAAAGCTGGTCATTTCACAACGAAACCTGGTGTTCCTGTGCAGGCCAAGATGCCCAGGTCACCCGGTCCGTTGCCTGGAATCCATGGCCCATTGATGGTTGATTTACCTATAAAACATGGTGATGTTCCATAGGTTTTTTGCATGTTTACCAGAGGGTAAGTGAAGGTAAGCTATCCAACTCAATGATGGGCTAATGATGGGCTAATGAATCATACGCAACTATTCCTTAAATTCATGTGCGGGTCGTTTTTGATCAACAAACGTTTTAAATTCTGCATGTGGGTCACTGGCCACCGAGGCAACTTCCATGATGAAACTACCAGTGGTTTCATTCATGTGTGAACTCCCATTCTTCATGGTTATACCCCTGGTCACAAATCAGCAATAGCTTTATACCACCTTTAAAAAATCGCATAGCCTGTAGATGTCCATGATATTCGTTCATCATATTCATCATTGCCAATATACCGCCTGGGGTATCTAGACATACATACCCTCCGGTAATCAAATTTGGCAATGGAAAAATACACCATTTAGAGATTACATTTCCATTAACATCTCCATTTATACGGATTCTCCAGCTATCCACTTGTGATTACCCGACAGTACCCTGGGAAAAACTCACATCATAGATGTGGAAAATCCACCATTTCCAGATATATGATGTTCATTGATTTTCCTGAGGAAACCATGGGTTTTCCACATCTATGTTAGTTTACCCCAAGGGTATAACTCGCTTCCATCTCCACCACGTCCCGGCACGGCCGGGCGCCTCCCGGAATGAGACCCACGACCCTGGCCAGCATCGTCAAACGCTTCAGCGCCTTGCAGGTCTTCCGGTCCTGGAGCCGTTTTGAACGTGGGGATGGGTAAAAAATGGTAAAAATGTATTGTTGCCATAGTTGGGCGAATAACATCCATGAAGCAACTATGATTTTATCACGGCTAATAGCGGTTAAGTATATGTACAGTAATAATGGTTAATCCGCCGACCCCGGCCGGAGCAAGGGGAAGGCGTAAGGGGAAAAAAAACGACACAACCTGCCACAACCACCACAACAACAGCAACAAGAGCAACAACAGCAACAAGAGCAACAACAGCAACAATAGCAACAATAGCAACAAGAACATTTCGTTTTCAGCACAATTGTGGGGTTTGTTCGTCCTGCCGTGCCATGCCGTGTTGCTGTTCTGCGCGGTTAGGGACTTGTTCGTCCTGCCTTGCCATTCGATGTTGGTGTTTGGCAGGTGTCCTTTTCGGGGCTGTGTTTGCATGTTGCGGCAATGAGATTCTGCCAATTTGGGGTTTCTATTTGGTATTTTGCTGCTGATGCCGCTGCTGTTGCGGCCACAAGTTTTTTTTGCCAATTTTGGGATTGTCATATTGATTGTTTTTTATTGATTAACTGATTCTATTGCATGATTGGAAATGGCGGTATATGAATTCTAGAAGACACGTTAGGGACTTTTACGGCACGATTTTGGGGCGCGTTCGCCCTGCCGTGCCATGCTGTCTTTCCGATGGTAACAAACTTCTGGCCTTGGCCCTGGAGAAATATTGGTGCTCCACAAGACCCATCATGATCCATGTTCATCCATGCCCACCCACTTTCCACTGGTTGGTGGTTTCAACCCCTCTGAAAAATATGAAAGTCAAGTGGAATTATGAAATTCCCAATATATAGAAAAATAAAAGTCATGTTCGAAACCACCAACCAGTCCATCATGACATATAGACGTGATTAGACGTGGCGCTGAATTCCAGGCACGAAAACGCGCACTGACAAACCTGCCTCAATTTAAGAATCTAACGGATTCTTTTGGAGAAAGAACCAAAAGCAACTTCACATGTATGCACATGATATATCTTATCCAAATATATACATAATATGTTAATGTACATATATGAATATATGTCCATCAAGTTCCTGCTACTTTTTTCGGCGGCAGGGGCTACAGCCCCATATGGTAAAGCTGGTAAACCCAATGCCATACACCTACCATGACTGGCGATGCTCTGAGTGCCACCCGTAAAAATGGCGATGTTGGGTATGGTCACGGTATGGTGTACAATTGGATTGGGTTTAGCACATAGATTATACATCATGAGATATCCATGGTGATTTTATGTTATTACATGCTGTTTCTGTTTTTAATGGTGATTCACTGCTATTAAGCATATTGTGGTTTATGGTCATACATCCCATCATGGGAATCCTGATAATGGGTAAAGAAATCCCTACACGTATCAATGGGTTGATGACCATCCTCCTATATGGGTGTATATTCCATCGTTTGACCATGGCACATATCAAAAATACTTCGATTGGACATCACGTGGATATCATGGGGATATTGGTTGGATGCAACAGTAATTAGACTAAACATTAGTTATATATTGGATATGCATGGATATACATATATCATATAACCAACATCCATAGTATTGTTGTTGTTTTGGGCCTTGAAGTCAAATGACTCATTTTACCCACCATGGTAGTGAGAATCCACCGTTATCCCAGGGGTTCTAATGGGGCACCGGAATCCAGCAGGAGTGGTTCCTAATTACATAAGATTCGAAGTGATGACGTTCCAAATAGTATTCAAAGCTATTTAAAACCACGAATCAGGTTTCAATATAGGTCACGCACCCATTATATCCCGAGTACTATCCCCCTTGTTATGTTTAAATCATATTAAGGCCCCATGTTTGTTGGTCAGCCAACCAGCATCAACCATCAGGTGTTTTTTTTTAATGGGTTTGGATGAAAATTATGCCCCAGGATTCAATGATTTAACTTGACCATTCTGTTCCCAGTAAATTGCTATTTGCAGGGTGTGCCCCATATGTGCCAAGGTCAAAAAATGCAATATGTGGGATGGCAATCCATCCCAAAATGGGAACCCTTGCAATTTGCATATATAATATTGTATAATTATATAAAGCATTATCAAGCCATATAAACCATTCTCCATATGGAGGTAGCGGTAACTGGCTGATTTTAGGGCGGCAAATCCTCCGTCACTTTCGTGGCAAATTCCCGGCACAACTGGGCGTTGGCGTCCTGAGACCAGTGGGTTTGAAGCTAAACATCAAAAATTGGGGGGAGGGTTCACATGGCTCAATCATGAAGTGGGTAGATGTATGATGCAATAAGATGCAAAGACTCTCTCCAGGGTTTCTGCTCAGGTATTTGAGAAAAGGCAAATGGTTGTGAACTGCGGACATGCTTGGGGTCCCAGGATAGTTGAGCCAAGAGCTGGGCGCAAACACATGTGACACCTGCTTCCGTGTTTACTTCTCTCTAAGATATATACAGTAAATGCAATGAAATCCAGCACAGTGCAAACACATTGGTCACCATCAATCCATGAAATTTCAACATGGCCACACTACCTGACATATTCCACTTACCAGTACCACGTAGGTTACTACATCCCCGACCTACTGAGTGGGGCGAACCATGATGAACCGCCATGGATTGGTTTAGAAATTCATGGCGGAACATCTTACTGCAATGGAAACCCTGGCATTCGCCATCAAATTCTGGGGGTTCACACTTTGAAACGTAAATCTTCCCTCCAATCCGATATTTTCCTCCGAGAAACAAAAGTAGGATTTATATTGGCAACAACTAATCTCAACTTAACTATTAGTATGATCCGATTACTATGATTATTAACGGTATTAATATTAACTATTCGATTCATATTAATGATAAAGTATTAATTAATTATCAAGTATAAGAACCATTATTAAACTAATTATGAAATAGCCAGTATATGCCAGTATGACGTATTAATAGTATAAATGTTCAATATTCCACCGCCGTTCTTCGAAAATGGCAAGCCACGCAAACAGCCAAGCTCAGTTCCAAAAGGTCAAAGGCCACTTCGCAGTAGTCACTCCTTGGAAGCGGGCATGCTTTGCTTGGGCTGGCTGAAGAATGATAATGATGATCTCGTATATATATATATTGCAATAAAATAAGCAAAGTTAATAATTATCATTAATAATAATACGTAGTAGTTAATATTAGCTAATGAGAGTTATTCACAGGTGAGCCGCGGACAATGTTTGGATATATTTGGTATATCAGGTAATCAACTGAGTGGGTGTTCCTACCTCGCTTTCCATTCCCGCACCTCGTTTTGCCCACCACGTTCTCGGATGATATTATATTTTCATGATTTTTCATGTATTTTCGGCAACCGGGACTAATTACTCTTCACTTGGCCACATATTAAAAAACCGTCACTCAGATCTTAATAGCCCACAATAAAGGGCAACAATACACATTAACAATAATAATGGTGATAGTAAACATATGCACACGCCCTGAAATAAACCAAACACCATGCCATTTGGGGATAGTTATGTCGCAGTGAGGTCATTGTAACTTAATTATCCAAATTAAGGAAGTCAACCAACGCGTCATCCATTAAGGGCTTGGGGATGTGATTCCCCCAACAACAGATGTGTAAGAATCACCATCATTACATATATCATATTATATACATCGTTGTGGTGCTTGGTTACAAAAAAATGCTCACAACATCAAGCAGTAACATCATTTGGCGATCAACAGTTGCCAGGTCTGTGATTATTCTACGCAGGTGTGGCTGCATCGCTGGGTGATTGCCTCATGTTGCCTAATGGAAGGGTTTATAACATAGGACTAGGATGATGCTTGCCACTTACCACCAGAACAGTGTCAGCGCAGTTTTCAGTTTGAAGTATTCATGTTGAGAGTTGAAAGGCTGGGGTCTCTTTACCTGCAAACCTTCTCCCCCACAGGTGACTACAGCAAGGCAATTGATAAGGGAGGCGCCCAGCTTGATGATGGACGCATCATCATCCAGGTTGGACCCAAAGCACATTTCTCCAAAAAATCACCCAGAAACAATGGTACAAAATGGTACAAATATTGATGGCAACTGGAAGTGCAGTGGACAACAGGACGTGATTCCAACCTGCCCCCCCTCCGGGATGGTGACCGCTGCGACCGCCGTGACCGCAGCCCTGCAACCGAAGGATCTCGTTGAAGCTGTGCATCCTTCCACTTGAAAACATCCTGCTCATACCTCAGTTTTCTGCTTTGGGTGAAGAGTTTGGCCACTTCAGAGCTGCGAAAAGCCAAGGAATTGGTTCTGGGGCTAGCCCCACAACAATGAAGGATTGGATCTATGATGGGCACCCCCAAAGTGTGCATCTATTGTAAGCACCTGGCAAAACCCAACGATGGAGCCCGTATGAGAAGCACATGATATAGCCACAGCCAAACGAACTCCGGCCGTTTCTAGTTACATTGTCCTGTCTTGAACCATCTAGTACCATCCAGTATGAAATTTTCACCCACACCCAAATGTATCCAACTGTACTTCTGCCACTTAGCTATGCCGGGGCACTTTTCTTCCAGCTGCCGAAGAAACCAGAGTGTTCTTCCTCTTCAGAGGCTGACTTGCTGGTTGCTGTGGCTCCTCAGCTGACGTATTTGCAACATGTCCTGGCGACTGGCATTCTATGCGCCATGCGCAAACCAGCCCACACAATAGGAAAATCCTCGTACAAGGTCAGCAATTCCACGTTCGGGTATGTATCAGGTAGGGAAGGTAATGCCAAGTCGATAACAATATCGTAAAATATCGTAAACCCCTGGTTGATTTAATTTGAGGCTTACCCTATCATAGCAGTTTATCACTTTTGGGTGATTAATCCGAATAACCTCATCCTGTCATACCATGAGTATCGGCGTCCGAAAGGAATATCATATCATGATCTCCCATCCATCCCCTTTTCTTAAGTTGTTTTTTATGTTTTTTTTTTTTTTCGGAGAGGTGGACCAGCTGGTGGGACGTCATAATCATGGAAACCTCTTGATGCCCCCCAAAAAAGGAATGAAGAGATACCAACTGGCAATCATCAAACATGGAAAACCGGAAAACCCAAAGTCCAAAGGAACATCATGAACCAAGGAAAACAATCTACAAATGATGTTTCTTCTGTTGCCATCTTTTTCTGTCTGAGAATTGGGTACCCCAAAATTTGATCTTTAACGTTCACCATATTTCCCCATTAAACTTATCCAAAATTAACATCAATTGCATTCAATTGCGGGGTATTATTTTCAGACACGCCCAAACATCATGTTGTTGGTTTTGTGTCCCATTAAAACCCGTTATCTCCCCCCAAAAAATGCTATCGTGCCGCAGTTTTGTTGGTTAAAACTTGAAACCTGATTTTTTGGGGGTACCAGAGGGTAGCACGGTACCCCTGTGCCGATGCCGACCTGAGGTGTTACTGGCTCTGGAGGCGCCAGAGACGCGGGAACCGCTGCGCAGCAAGTGCTGCTGCTGCTTCTCCTTGGTTTAGTGAAATACCCTCTGGTAAACTAACATAACTATGGAAAATCACCATTTTCAATGGGAAAATCCACTATAAATCACCATTTTCAATAGCTATGTTAAATTACCAGAGGGTAACCGAAGCGCAGTAGGGTTTTTTCATGGATTTGTTGGAAACAACACCCCATTGTTGGTGTAAAACGACATGAATACCTCTTGGAATGATCCTATACGTATGTATATCTCTCTCCATCGTCTCCATCGCCTTCTCAAGTTTGTATGCACGATTACTTATCTATTAGTTATTTATTCATTCATTTATTTATCTATGTGTTTACTTATATATTTGTTTACATAATGTGTATATATATATATACACATTATGTAAACAAATATATAAGTAATTAATATATATATATATGTATGTAGGTGTTGTGTTTGTGTGTGTGTGCCCGTGCACTGTGTATATATATAATTATCAATATTATTGTTATTATTTTTTGTATGTATATATGTAACTAGATATCAAAAAAGAACTGACACATATATACAGGCAGTGAGAAACACACATAGATAGCCATATGCGAACGGAGGGAATATTAATTAGCGTGTAAGTGGGAATAATGGGAATTAGATGATAGTGATGATGATGATGATGATGATGAGGATAAGGATGAGGATGAGGAGGAGAATGAGGAGGAGGATGTGATTTCGAATATCATTTAAGAGTCAACAAAGTAGAGCCCCCCTGCAAAACTGCTTGATATTGTTTGGGGAGGTCACGCGCCTGTTGTCAGCTCGGACTTTCACGAGTTAATTGACATTGGCATCAAAAATCACCATCTATAATACATACTTGTGGCAACTTCCCCTTTACCAGTAGGCATCGGTAGGAATGTATCATTCCATGTTACACCAGTTTCAGTTCTCCATTTTCAGGTTTTCCAAGTCTCCGCATTGGTCAGAACCATCTGAAACCTTTGTGGTCTCGGAGATACTGCCATCTCCTATCACTGACCGGCCATCGCTGGGCAGCAAATGCCGGTCATAGTGGTACCCCCCCCAGCGTGATTCGGCAAAGCCTATACCGACTTTCCACTGAATCCCGATCATGCGAAAAGGAATCAAAAATCAAAGTCGGAGGCGACAGAGTGATCAGGGCATCATGCCGTCATGGGCCCCATGGGCATCGTAACATATTCATATCGTATTATCCTCTGGTAAACTAACATAACTATGGAAAATCACCATTTTTGATGGGAAAATCCACTATAAATGGCCATGTTCAATAGCTATGTTAGTTTACCAGAGGGTATATACTGTTTGTATATGCTACATATTAGGATCTGGTTTTACAACCACAGTATGATACAAAATGAGTATAAGAGGCTGTCCAAACATAAGGGGATATGACTCCAGCAAATCGTCTGCCGCACTTGTATGTCCAGTGGTGCTTGTATGGTTTTGTCTCACAATTGGAAAATCATTGGGTTTGGGGATTTTTGTTCCCTCAACTCTTGTGACATATTCATACATATTCTCCATCAAACATGGCCACGGAAAATCACCCATTGAGTTCTGAAGCCCACTGAGTTTGGGGATTTCCCAGCCACGTTTGGAGGCTATACTCCATGGTGGGTGCATGGTGATTGCCCCGGGGCCACCGCGATCCTTGGGTGATCTCTGCATGCTTTCTACATGTGCCGGCGACCTCGAGGCGCTGGGGGGAACCCACAAGCAAACAATCTCCGATCGGGTTTTATGTGTTGGATGTACCAACGTAATTAAACGTAATTCACAAATTACCTTACTTCGAGTGATCCCCACCCTGACACACTGTTCTGACATAGTTTCTAACATATCATCTGGAAGCATATATATATATATATATATATTTCTAACATTCTATCTGACATTTTTTCCGGCATATACTCTGACATTCTATCTGTCATTCTTCTGGCATTCAATCTGACATTTATTCGGCCATTCATTGTGGCATTCTGCTTGGCATCTATTCTGACATTCTATCTAGCATTCTTTCCGGCATATATTCTGACATCTCTTCTGGCGTTCCACCTCGCATCTTTTCAGCCATTCATTCTGTCCTTCTATATGGCATCTATTCTGACATCCTATTCTGACATTTTATCTCTTCGGGTCCAGGCGCGCCCCACAGCATCATCAGCATCCTGGGCTGGCAATTCGGAGTTCGGGCCCATGTGCACTCCACAGTCTCCTGAGCTGGCGATATGGTGTTCGGGTTCAGGTGTGCTCCACTGCATCCAGAGCTGGCGATATGGTGATCGGGTCCGGCGAGAAAGAAGGTGGTGCGGGAGTGAGGAGGGGAGTGAGTGAGTGAAGGACCTGCACCTGTGTTAAAATCTATATAGAGACCTTCACCTGGCAGGTGGGGAACAAGTGCCTTCATGGCTCATGTCTTTATTCATGAACAGTACATATATGATCACATGTATCTAGATTAAATAGATGCTGAAATTATCTATAATTATATAAAAAAAAAGTGTATATCATGTATACATGTTCATGTTGTGCTGTTGTGCTGTTGTGCTGTTGTGCTGTTGTTCTGTTGTTCTGTTGTTGTTGTTGTTGTTGTACCTTGTACCTTGTACCTTGTACCTTGTACCTTGTACCTTGTACCTTGTACCTTGTACCTTGTTGTTGTTGTTGTTGTTGTTGTTGTTGTTGTTGTTGTACCTTGTACCTTGTACCTTGTACCTTGTACCTTGTTGTTGTTGTTGGTGGTGGTGGTGGTGGTGTTGTTGTTGTACCTTGTTGTACCTTGTTGTACCTTGTTGTACCTTGTTGTACCTTGTTGTACCTTATTGTACCTTGTTGTACCTTGTTGTACCTTGTTGTACCTTGTTGTTGTTGTTGTTGTTGTTGTACCTTGTTGTACCTTGTTGTACCTTGTTGTACCTTGTTGTTGTTGTTGTTGTTGTTGTTGTTGTTGTTGTTGTTGTTGTTGTTTGTCTACTTAATATGCTCAATATCCATGTTCAGAGAGGTTTGGCATGCTTCGGCCAACCCGCCACTGGTAGCAGACACAAAGGCAGCAAAGTGACACAACCAAGTCGTTGTTTGCCCGCTGCTGTGCAAAATCCTTGGTGCTATCGATGCTTGAAATAGAAGCGACACCACCAAGCAAACCAACGACTAATTGGTTGGATATACACACACAGACCGAGCGAGATAGATAGATAGGAAAATAGATAGAGAGATAAGATAAGATAAGATAAGATAAGAAAGATAAGATAGATAAGATAGATAAGACAAAATAAAATAGAATAGAATAGAATAGAACAGAATAGAATAGAACAGAAACAAATAGAACAGAATAGAATAGAACAGAACAGAATAGATAGATATGACAGATAGGACAGAAAGGACAGATAGGACAGATAGAATAGATAGGATAGATAGGATAGATAGGATAGATAGGAAAGACAGGATAGATGGGATAGATAGAGGATAGATAGGATGGATCGATAGATAGATAGCCAGATAGACAGATAGAATAGATAGAATAGATAGAAAAGATAGAACATATAAAACAGATAGAATAGATAGAAGAGATAGAAAAGAAAACAGAATAGACAGAATTGATAGAATCGATAGAATAGATAGAACAGATAGAATGATAGAATGATAGAATCAATAGAAAAGAAAAATAGATAGATAGATAGATAGATAAATAGATAGATAGATAGATCGATAGATGGATAGATAGATAGATAGATGGATGGATGGATGGATGGATGGATTGATGGATAGATAGATAGATAGATTAGATAGATGGATATATAGACGGATAGACGGATAGATGGATAGATGGATAGACGGATAGATGGATAGATGGATAGGAATAGATAGGAAAAGAAAGGAATAGATAGGAATAGATTGGAATAGATAGGGATAGATAGGAATAGATAGGAATAGATAGGAATAGATAGGAATAGAAAGATAGAATAGATAGAATAGATATAGATAGGAACATATAGGAATAGATAGGAATAGATAGGAATAGATAGGATTAGATAGGAATAGATAGGAATAGATAGGAATAGATAAGAATAGATAGGAATAGATAGGAATAGATAGGAATAGATAGGAATAAAAAGGAATAGATAGGAATAGATAGGAATAGATAGGATTAGATAGGAATAGATAGGAATAGATAGGAATAGATAGGAATAGATAAGAATAGATAAGAATAGATAGGAACATATAGGAATAGATAGGAATAGATAGGAATAGATAGGATTAGATAGGAATAGATAGGAATAGATAGGAATAGATAAGAATAGATAGGAATAGATAGGAATAGATAGGAATAGATAGGAATAAAAAGGAATAGATAGGAATAGATAGGAGTAGATAGGAACAGATAGGAACAGATAGGAATAGATAGGAATAGATAGGAACAGATAGGAATAGATAGGAATAGATAGGAATAGATAGGGATAGATAGGAATATATGGGAATAGATAGGAATAGATAAATTAAGATAGGATAAGATAGGATAAGAAAAAAACAAATAAGATAAGATAGATAAGATAGAAAAGACAGACAATATAGACAAGATAGATAATATAGGTAGAAAAATATAAATAGATAAACACGATAGAAACATATAAAGAATGATCAATATATAAAAATATAAACAAAAATATAGATAGCTAGATTGATGGATGGATAGATAGATAGGTAGACAAGATAGATAAGACAAAATAGAAAAGATAGATAGATGAAATGAACAGATAAAGATATAGATAAGATAAGACATAAAAACATAAATAAGATAAGATAGATAAGATAAATAGAACACTCGATAAGATAGATAGATCAGATAGATAAATAAGATAGACAGGACAAATAGAATCGATAGGATAGATACGATAGATAGGATAGAGAAGATAGATAGGATAGATAGGATAGATAGGACAGATAGGAAAGACAGATAGACAGATAGACAGACAGACAGATAGATAGATAGATAGACAGATAGACAGGTAGATAGATAGATGGAGCGATAGATCGATAGATCGATAGATAGACAGAGAGAGAGAGAGAGATAGACAGATAGACAAATAGGTCGATAGATCGATAGATCGACAGTCGATAGATCAAGAAGATACATTAAGATAAGATACGATAAACTAAGATACAATAAGACAATATACAATAACAGAAGATACAATTTGAAAAGATAAAATAAGATAAAATATGATACATACATATATATATATATAGATAGATAGTATAGATTTAGATAAGATATAATAAGATAAGACAGAATAAGATGAAATAAATAAATAAAAACAACACACATGATAGATACCGATAAATACTGATAGATGCTGATAGATGCTTATAGTTAGTTTATTTCAACACATATAATCATATCACATCAAGAAGTGTTCGTTTGTTTGCTTAATTCATCTGTATGGTTTATCTACCTATCCATCCATCCATCTATCTGCATAGTTTACCACGTAAATATGATACTATGTACAAATGATGTATATACACCGTCAAGTGTGCAATATACATAAACTATCAAAAAATAAGGGCATCGAGATGCATATGCTTTTGAAAATGCAAGAATCTAAGCCTAGTTCAACCCATATGATGCTTCTGTAATCTTATGTATTTAATATACTGTAATCTATCTATCTATCTATCTATCTATCTATCTAATCTATCTAATCTATCTAATCTATCTAATCTATCTAATCTATCTATCTATCTATCTATCTGTCTATCTATCTCTATATATATATATGTGTGTGTGTGAATGTGTGTGTGTATTTATCTATTTATTTAACGTATGCACGCAATTGCGCATGTACACAGCCTGCATGCATAGCATTGTTCGTTCCAAGTCCTCCAGTCGGCCAACACCAAGCAGCTATAAGAAATTGGGCACTTGCCAGTGCAGTGTGACCCCAAATGTGTAATTTTCTACGACTTGATCATTCTTTCAGAAGCACTCTCCCACTATCTCATCCCACCACGGCGTTCGGAAATTTCACGAGCGGCGATGCTGTTGGGACAGCTGGTATAAGGTTTGGCAATGATGCCTTCATCTGACGGAAGCCACAACTCCACTTCTGCCATCGAAATCCTCAGACGATTTCCCTGTGAAGTTCCAACATCAAGGACCCCCCGAGACGCTTCGCCGGCAACGCACAAATTCAAAGAGAGGAAATGCAGAATTCAAAGAGAGGTCCTGCCAACAAAATTGGCCGAAATGGGTCACAAAGGTTTTGGGTATTGGCTTTGGTGATCTTTGGATATCTTTGGTCCAGTTAGGAAGGCCAGAAGAATTGCAATTCCCGTGCCTTGCTGCCAGGTGGCTGCCACAACGTTCAGGGCGTTAAAACCACGGTGACGCGGCGTCGAAAAAACAAGACGCTGGCCGTCGGAATGTGAGTGGCCCGGCAAAAGAGTTTGCTCTGCTGACCTTTTAGGACACTCATGGCAGAACGACTTGCTGATTCCTCAGAAATATGAGAATCATCAAATGAAGTGAATCATGCCAGGAATATCTGAAACCATCAGTTGATCAATGGCACCCGATAGCCTTATATAGCCTTCAGCCTTCATCGACTCAACCTCTTTTCGGCTCGAAAAATGGGCGGCTGGGCGGACGGAGGCGGCCAGTCACAAACCCAGGAGGGTAACGATGGAAACATTGGAAACCCTCTGATTTTTGCATAACTTCCATAAACAATTGTCAATTACCATCGATAACAGGAAATTGGATGAAATTGGTTAATCTTATTGGACTACCATCGATATATATATATATATCCTAATAACAATTGATGCTACTGTTTGGGTATGGCTTGAATAGCCTCCAACTGAATCAAAATGCTAAACTCTGGCAACTGGAGGATTGTATTGCTACCATTGGGTTTGCAACACTGAAAGTGGAAATCCACCATTTATTATTGTTTGTTATCGTATATTGATTATCATGTATTCTTGGCTGGATCCTTAGGTGGCTCCAACGGTGGGACCCGCATTCCAAAAAGCTGCCCGTGCTCTCCTGCATGGGGCATGGGGCTTATCGTGGAAAATTAGGGGAAACTGCTGGGCTATAGGGATGCCGAATCAAAAAAAAACTAGCCGCACCACCAAGATGAGGAAAACATGAAAATCCCGCAATGTTGTGCATGCCTCCAAAGTTTCATTGTCCACCTTCAAGGAAATGACATCCGGCCGATCCCGAATGCCTTTCAAGTGCAAGAGTTTGTGCAAGGATTGCCCTGACCTGTCACGGCAATCAGAATCGGCTGGGAAACTTGCTTAGGATATTCATGAAATTTCATGAATATTACTGCAGTGGAGTTTGCGGGAAGCCCTGAACCAAGGAGCCGACACATTGACTTCCTCCAAACATTCGCGAAAGGTCTGGTCCTGAGTCTCAGCAGTCCCCCAAAGAAGACACCGTGGAAGATCAAAGCTGTTCTGTTGAACCCAAGTTTAGCCACAAAATCGAACAAAACTCTGTTAGTCTTTCTTAGTCTCCGGTAATGAAAGATTCATCTCAATAGAAAATCCCTTAAAATGGGCATTTTAATGTTAATGGGAAAGATATCTTTAAATCGGAGATTTCCCAGCCAGCCATGTTTCATCTTCCCGTGACGCCTCAGCGAAGTGAGGTTCTGTTCGCCGATATCAAGGCTAAGGGTAGAAATATTGTGTCAACCAAAAACCTCACCAAACCAAGACCTAACGTGAGTTTGGGCTCAAAATTATTGAATCACACTATATGAACCATCATTTTTTATGGTTCAAAAATCAAACGCAATCAATTGCCCTGGGATATTACCCCTGATAGATGTCATAGATCTTGCGGGATGTCAATTTAGCTTCTTGACGCTAACGAGCAAACAATAGCAGAAAGTCGAAGATATTGAGTCATATATTCGATCGTCCTTAAAATTGGATATTGCAGAGAGCGAGCAAACGTGCATCATTGTGATTTTCGACATGTCAGCCACTTGCAGCCACTTGCTCAGGCAGCCACTTGGCAGCCACTTGCTGCAGCCACTTGCTGCAGCCACTTAGGGCAAGTGTCTGCGAGTGGCTGCCAAGTGGCTGCCTGAGCAAGTGGCTGCAAGTGGCTGCCAAGTGGCTGCCTGAGCAAGTGGCTGCCAAGTGGCCGCCAAGTGGCTGCAGCTGTCTGCAGCGAATCGTAACCATTTGCAGCTATGTGCCATCTTGAGGAGGAAAAAAAAGTGTGTTTGTAGATTTTCCTTTTTTTCAAGATTGCAGAAAGCGAGCAAACGTGCATCATTTTGATCTTCGAAAAAGCAGCCACTTGCAGCCACTTGCTCAAGCAACCACTTGCAGCCACTTGCAGCCTGTTCTTGCAGCCACTTGCAGCCTGTTCTTGCAGCCACTTGCAGCCTGTTGCTGCAGCCACGTGGGGCAAGTGTCTGCGAGTGGCTGCCAAGTTGCTGCAAGTGGCTGCTTTGGCAAGCGGCTGCAAGTGGCTGCAGCTGTCTGCAGCGAATCGTAACCATTTGCAGCTATGTGCCATCTTGAGGAGGAAAAAAAATGTGTTTGTAGATTTTCCTTTTTTTCAAGATTGCAGAAAGCGAGCAAACGTGGGTCCATGGTCACTTGCGACCCTAAAAAACGGTCACTTGTGACCCTGAAATTCCCGGTCACTTGTGACCCTAAAAAACGGTCACTTGCGACCCTATTCCTTTAAAAACTCTCACCCCCCCTGCGTTCCACCATGCAATTGTCTCCACTATACCATTGTCTCCATTCTATTTCTTCATTTAAACTTCCCCTCAGCCATTTAGGGTTTGGTTGGGGGGAAGGGATTATTCAACTTAGATCATTACTTGACTCAGCCATTTAGGGTTTGGTTGGGGGGAGGGATCATTCTACTTACATCATTACTTGACTCAGCCATTTAGGGTTTGGTTGGGGGGGAGGGATCATTCAACTTAGATCATTACTTGACTCAGCCATTTAGGGTTTGGTTGGGGGGAGGGATCATTCTACTTACATCATTACTTGACTCAGCCATTTAGGGTTTGGTTGGGGGGAGGGAACATTGAACTTAGATCATTACTTGACTCAACCATTTAGGGTTTGGTTGGGGGGGAGGGATCATTCTACTTACATCATTACTTGACTCAGCCATTTAGGGTTTGGTTGGGGGGAGGGAACATTGAACTTAAATCATTACTTGACTCAGCCATTTAGGGTTTGGTTGGGGGGGAGGGATCATTCTACTTACATCATTACTGGACTCAGCCATTTAGGGTTTGGTTGGGGGGGAGGGATCTTTCTACTTACATCATTACTTGACTCAGCCATTTAGGGTTTGGTTGGGGGGGAGGGGTTATACATTACTTGACTCAGCCATTTAGGGTTTGGTTGGGGGAGGGATCATTGTACTTAGATCATTACTTGACTCAGCCATTTAGGGTTTGGTTGGGGGGGAGGGATCATTCTACTTACATCATTACTTGACTCAGCCATTTAGGGTTTGGTTGGGGGGAGGGATCATTCTACTTAGATCATTACTTGACTCAGCCATTCAGGGTTTGGTTGGGGGGGAGGGATCATTCTACTTACATCATTACTTGACTCAGCCATTTAGGGTTTGGTTGGGGGGGAGGGATCATTCTACTTACATCATTACTTGACTCAGCCACTTAGGGTTTGGTTGGGGGGGAGGGATCATTCTACTTACACCATTACTTGACTCAGCCATTTAGGGTTTGGTTGGGGGGGAGGGATCATTCTACTTACATCATTATTTGACTCA